GAAGTAACAAATTCGTCAAAACTGCCTGTGCAGATCAGCTGACTTTGGAAGCAAGTTGCGAACAGTTCAGAATGAATTAGAGAATGAGCCTTATATTCTTGGAAAGCTAAAGATGTCTATTTTCTGGAGCATTTCACAGATTGTTAATATCATTTTTCTAGAAGAAGTTATGGTCATTATAACACTGAAAGGTTCCCAAGAGGCTGAACAGTTTGTAACTGACAAGAAAGCAATAAATCCAATAAATCTAGCAGCCAAAACTGAGGCAGCCAAGAATAATGTTGCTGCCCAACCTTTTACTTCATAAACTTTATCTTCTTTGACATATGTTTTCCTGTACTTTGAAGGGATTGCTGGAAAATACAGAAAAGGATAGAATCAAGAGATTGATAAGGTTAAAGCCTCCAACTGATTTCTGAATCAAGCTTCCTACTGAATGTTGAACCGAAGGCAACGTTGAATTCATCCCCGGTGTATTTTCAGGCTTTGTGATAGACATTATGTTTTCAAACCTCGCTTGGATAAGATAATATGAGAATAGGTAATATTTTTCTACTCCATGAGAATATATTTTCTATACTCTATAAGATTATTCTTGAAAATACCTTGTAATATTTATACTGTCTTCCCAAAACAATGTGTAGTGAGTGTGTCGCCGTGGTAAATTTTTTGCCGAGAGAGAAGACACGGTGGTTCATTAGGACGATTTGCGATATAAGTATGTCCTCCACTGAACTCCATGTAGCCCCGAGCTATGAATGGATTAGGGATCATTAGATAGCTAGAATAAAAAATAACAGAGAAAACTACTGCGTTAAGAGGTCACTGGTCTCCAATGTTTAAAATCAGATTGGTGCCAAGCATAAAATTCAAATTTTACTATACAAATGTTAATAATAAGAGTTTTTACTATCTACAATTTTATAATCGCAAAGGTTAAAATAAATAATAAAAAAAAGAACTCCCGGACATGAGTGTTGTCAAGTTGACTAGGGCATTGGGTTCTCTCTTTGCAATTAAATTTAAATCCGTTTATGTATAGTTTAAGCGAACGAGGAGTTGGTAAAGATTGTTCAAGGCTTAGGTTTGAGTCTCGATGCCGATAATCTCTCTTGGTGGTAGATTTGTAAAAAAAAAAAAAAAAAAAAAAAAAAAAAAAAAAAAAAAAAAAGGGTTAAGACCCTTTCTATAATTCCTCAAAAAGACTTGTGATGTAGGCTCTGACCTTAGAATGAGGTAGCTTTCCCTCCTTCAATACTTTTTTTTTTTACCAAAACAATAAAAAAAAAAGAAATTTAAGTCCCTGAGAAAGTCATACATTGATCACAAAGGAGGCAAATTGTATAGAACAAAAGTGCTTACTAATCGAAAATCATTAAACTCATTATTTAAATGACGTCACTTAAAATTTTTGGAAAGCCTTTTAAATCTTCATACTCCCACAGTTACTATGTTCTGAAAGAAATGCAACTTCGCAGAATTATCTTGCAAAATTGGAGTATTTTGGCCCTGTAGAGAATTTTGAAATTTTGATACAATGATTCTAGCCTCTTAGGTCCCATTGGGGGTTTTTTTTTCCACCAAAAAGTACTACTTCAAAGTTAAGCAATAAAAAAAATGTTTGGTAAAAAACAAAACATCCCGCTTAGTTTTAAAACAACGACCTCCAGACAGCAGCTTTTAAAAGCAACAATCAAAAAAGACAAATTTGAGTTTGTACATGCACCAGCTTGCTAGTATTAGAAGACAACAAGAATCTTATAGAGTTGCTATATGCAAGTGGAAAAACTAGTTATATACAGTGAGTTAGTAGGTGCATAATTGTTTGACCATGACAACTTGAGGAACCAAGAGGACGGCAATGAAAGGAGAAGGCTTGTGGAGCAAGTGTAGGTGCGGAGAGGCATGATGCCAATCAGAGTCTCTTCAGAGCCAGTGTCCAAGAACACGATGGTGTTCTTAATTGCTGCTTCCATTGCTTCTAGCTGGTAACTGCAAACAATGATAAAATATAACAGCTTGACAAACCCAACCCTTCATATTGAATTCAAAATTGTTTATATTTTAGCAACCAAATAATCAAGAAGATAACTGGGGAGTGAAAGCAGCAACCACAATCTGCTTATGAAGTGAATGAAATTGTAATTTGTAATTTTTGGTTTTGTCAGCAACCAGACAATGAAATTATGTGAAAGGAGGAATGGCTCTATCTAACCAAATAACATACATTTAAATTTGCCAAAAAAAAAAAAAAAAAAAAAAAAAACATACATTTAAAAAGAGTAAAAGAAGGAAAAACAAGACAAGACCTTCTGGCAAATGGGAGAGGATCAAAGTCATCAGCTTCTCCACTATTGGCATCACCACCATACTCTTACAATTATTGATTCCATACCATCACCATCACCGGCTCCACAATTACCACCACTACTATTACCACCAGCATCAGCATTGTCACCACTATCGTCGCCATTGCCTATGATTGCAACCACCAACATTATCCCACTACCACTATCACAACCACTGTCTTTGCCATCGCCAACAACAAAGCAATTGCCACCATCACCGTTGTGACCACTGTTACCTCTACACCCCAACCACGACACCCTATTATTGGTACCACCACAACACCCTTCCCCCCCTGTTGGCACTGCCATCACTGCCACTACCCTGCCACCGCTGTTGTTGTCACCACGCCCACTACTATGTTTATTTTTGTCATACAATCACTTTTACATTGAAAATTTTCAAACGCTTTTAGGCTTTTTATACTCACAACACTTTTGAAAATACAGTTTATCAAACGCTCAACTCTTTTATTTTACAACTAGTTATTCTTAAAGCGCAACATAAGCGGGTTTAGAAGAAAAAAACATCAATCCCAAAAACTGACCCTTAGTTCTATTCTCTAATTTGCTTTGCGTCAAAAAGCCTCCAAAAAAATACATCTTAATCATTTATCGTACATTATGTAGTCATAATTCATTTGAATTTTATTATTTAAAATTAAACACAAATGGTAATTAAAGAAAACTAACCACATGATGTACAATAAATAGTTAGAATGTGAGGATCCCTAAGATCACCACAAAGATGATCCCTAGGATCCCCACAAAGAGGATCTGGAGAGGATCCTCATCCTCCAAGGGGGTACTAAAGGTTAAAGTAAAAGCGTACAAATACGAATACAAAACATACCTTTTAAGCGTGATGGGTTACTAAAATGTATTCTGAAATTGACTGAATTTGTGGTGGTTTTCATACTTAGTAATTGTTGACAACATGAAAAAAAGAGATAATGGTACACCTAATCTCATAATAAAATACCACAATTATAGAGACCGATATATTTTTCTTTGCCTGATCTCTTCCTAATTAAGAAAAAGTAATTTTCACATATCACGTATTTCCTCCTACGCACATTTATTTATTTTTCGCTTTCATATTAAAGCAGTTAAAAGAAAAGTAATGAAAAGGATGTGAGAAAATCATTTTCCCAAATTAATTTATGTTCGTCATGGTATGCAATGCATCTCTATACATATAACATCCCACATATTTGTCTTCAGTTGTCCCTTTTTCTCCTACTCAAAAACTATAGTCTATTGAAAGGTTGTTTATGGCAATAGCAATGAAGGCTCGGGTGACTTTAGCATTCCTCCATTTGGCTTTCGTCCAAGCAACTTGAACCAGTCCACAGCTACAACACCAACCCCATCCCCAACCTCTCACTTCCTTGAAGTTTCAACAACACCCAGGTCCGTCTGTTAAGAGTGTTCACCTGTGTACGTTCAAAGTTCGATTTTCTCCCTCCTCCATATCACTTGTGTCAAAAATAAGCTTGCATTGCATTCATTATTTGTTGATCGTAAAGTTCTATGTTTGTTAAATTGCAATTGTACATATGAAAATACTAGACAGATAAAAATTGCTTTGGTTTATACATAATTGTATGCTATATCTTACGCAAGAACATTGATAAGTATGGCTCTTGTAGAATGTAAATTTGTACGTTATGTAAATAAAGACTGTACTTCACCTCCATATGTACTCGAGATCAGATCGGAATTAAAAATTTGGTGATGCTAACGGCCATAATTAAGGTACTTATAATTACTTCCCTTCAAATAGTAGTCGTGTTAAAGACTATGAATCTGAATTACTCATTAAATAAAAGTATTTTTGTTTACTATTTTGGATATGTTGCCTAGATTGATACTTGGACGTATTACAAAAAAAAGGGTGCTTTGGCAATGTAACATACTAAATTGTATGAGCGTATATTATCTTAGAGTTTATTTATCACTTGTGCGCAATATTTACTCATAACTCTTGATAATCATCAAGTGTTTGCTAGACTAGACGATCCATGGTTGCCTGTGAGATTCAGGCGTTGCTCTAAAGATAGATTTCCGATTATCGGGCCATGCACGTCCGGGACATGCATGGTATGTGCATCTTTATAGGGTTGGACAATGGGGGGAAAGAACAGGGCGTGGCAAGATAGTATTAAAGATTAAAGTGAAAGATGCAAATATGTGCATGACAACATTGGTTAGACTGAATGTGCTCTTCTATGCATTCGAGTTGGAATCCCCCTTTCGTAATTAAAAAAAAAAACAATCATAATACCATGGTTTAAGAAAATAAAAAATAGATTATTGTTATTTTTTACAAATGCTAGATATAATCTTTTCTAAACCCAACTAAATATAAGAAGAAAGATAGTTTGAACTTGGAACACGATGAGTTAAAAGAGGAAGGTCCTATCTCATCAAGACAATCCATCACTTTCCAAAACAATAGATAAAAACAAAGAATATAAAAATATAGACCTCTTAAAAATGGACGGTTTCTAAAATAAATTCTAGAAATGACTGTTTGCAGGGCTTTTTTCATACCTAGTAATAGAATTTCTTGACAACATGACAAAGAGATAATGGTGTACACACTTAACCTAATGTCATAATCAAATATCACAACCATAGAGATAAAGTTTCTGACTGTAATCCACCCTTAGTTAAGCAAGTGATAAAGACTTGCACACGAACGACCGACTATAGCATTCTTATACCCTATATAATGATATCTCCCCTCTCTCTTATTCAGACTATTTTTTTTACTGAAATTAAGTTGAAGGTTATGTCAATAACAATGAAGGCAGCAGTGACTTTAGTGCTTATCTTCACCTTCATGCAAGCCACTTCAACCATTAATGCACAACCCCAACTCCTCCCATCCACTCGGGTATGAGAAAATTCCTCGGTAAATAGTTAATCAACAAAGTTCTGTAAATTACTAATGAATATATGAAAATAAATAGAGAAAATATTACTTATTTAAATTAATACATATGTTCTTTTTCTAAAAATTGTGTGTAATAATTTTTTACTATATATCCTAATGTATTAATAAAATTAATAGATATGGGTTTTTCCAGAATGTAGGTAACTGTTCTTACGTGGTGAAGATAAAGACTAGCTGTACTTCGGCCCATTACACACTAAATCAGATCAATATCACGTTTGGTGATACTTTGAATAAGGTACTTCTCTCCCAAATTACATTATACAGATACAAACTCATATACAATACAGATAGTCTAGCTCTATGTCGGAAATAATATATTGCGTGACAGGCTTATACATGTTTGTAAATTTACATAGCGCGAACCTAAAAATGTCATCTAGATTGATGTCTGCCAACATAATCATCTGCAGTGTCACATAAGTGCAATATTTACAACTTACATAATTGTATTTTCATCAGCAACTGATGATATTTGTTAACATTATTTCCTAATGATGATCAGGTGTATTCGGGTAGAATTGATGATCCACAAAAAGGCAGATTCCGACGGTGTCGTATGGATACATTTGGTCATATTTTCGGGCCATGCACGTACCCTTGTTGTATGTTAGTCTACAGGACGGGATACGATGGGTGGAAAGTAGATACAGCGACAATTTTCGTTGATGCTAAATCTGTCACATTTTTTTTCAACTCGATGTATATCCCACAAGGTGTTTGGTATGGGCTTAATAATTGTATTGGTGCTCATGCGGCATCATCCCCTGAAAACACACAGAAAAGGATATAGGAGCTTGTCTTCTTGTTCTGACCACAACTCTCTGGTTTCTAATAAATAAAAGTGGTACTAGTGCTTTAGTATTCCATTTTTCGTCGATTCTGCACGTTATGTTGATGGTATATATACAGAATAAATCAATAAAAATGGGTTTTGTTTACTTCGAAAGTTGGTTCCAGTTAAGCAGTAATTTCTCTCATTCTAAAGCCCTTATAACTATTTGCATGAGTTTATTTAGATTCTTAGGTATGGTGGTTAGAAAGCTTTAGATAAAGTTTAGTTCCAAAGAGTCTTTAAGAAAAACAGCATGTTGTTTTCCCCAGTCGTGGCATAGTTCTAGCTAGCAACGGCGACAGAGCTTATACGGCGGCGCCATAAGCAACGGAGGTGGGAGCGGCAGCTAGCTGAAGATAAGGTGCAGAAGGAAATGTCGACGAAAGTGAATACTGATGTAATACAACAAAGTCAGTAGTTCATGCCTCTATCTATAGCAAATGAACATGATTTTGTCAATGAAGGAGAGGTGTTTTGAGCTATAAGTCTCCAAAAACACTTAATATATAGTAGAGCTGCGAAGATATCTGTGAGAAATGAGAATTGGGATTAGTCTATGATAAAATTCCACACCGGACATATTGGTCCTTTTATTCTCCACCCAACCACTATATAAGGAGGGTTTTGGAGAAGGAAGATATACATAGAAAATTGAGAAAAAAAAATCTATAGAGAGGATAGAAAGGATAATACTTAGTTACTCACTCATATACTCATTTTTTTATCAGGTTCAATAAAAAGATATCACGTGTCACTTGTTTTTAAAGTCCAAGAAAAATTAAATAGCATGTCTATTATTTTTTAAAGGCTTAAATGTTAAAAAGGTCCTTGTCTTTTAACCTTTTAGTCAATTAATCCCTGTATTTTGATTTTAGCCGATTTAGCCTTTGTGTTTTACACCGTTAGCCAATGCAATCCATTCCGTCAAAAATAAGATTTTTGTCAAAAATAAATAAAAGTTCAAATATGAAACAATCCAAAAATCATCACACCCATGAGGGTACGGGGGAAGGGAGATCAGGGAAGTGGTGCAGATTGATGCTATGAAGATGGCACGGATGGGGGAGGGTGATCGACATCGTCTTGGGAGTTGTTGGGTGAAGAACTACGAGAGGGAGTGTGGGTGGTTTCTATGATAAGTAACGGTGATTGGGGTGTTGCCTTGGGTGTGTTCGACGGTGGTGGTACTGGGGGTTTCAAATTCTCCTTTTACTTTTGAATTCTTTTTATTTTCTTATCTTTTATTCTTATTTGTTAATCAATCCGAAACATATTTATAAAAAATTCAACAATAACTAGATGGAAAGTACTAAATTAAATAAGTGAGTGAAACACGAAGACTAAATCGGTTAAATTGAAAATACATGGACCAAGTCAACTGAAGAGGTATAACATGGGAACAATTTTGACATTTAAGGTACTTACTAGATGCATATAAGGTACATATAAGATACTTACTAGTGAGTGCCTAAGTATTATCTGTTAAAGGAGCTCTACACTTTGGAGTCAAATGAGTTTTTGTTAGGTGCCATGTGTCAAATTCTTATACGTGGGTAATTTTATGGTACTAATTTTTGGTACGGAAGATTTGAAAGTTGGCTAGATAACCATTTCAATTTAAGTAATGCTAGAGACACCAACTTTGTCCAACAAATGATATAGCACATTCTATGTTGTACAAATTTTTATTACAATTATTAATCAAATTTCAATTTGATTAAAGCACAAATTTAATTGGTGCTACATCATTTTCCGATTTTCTGTATTTTTTTTTCTTTTTATTTTGGGTAGCCCATGTTTTAGTTAAAGTAACAATGATACAGAAAGGGTCCGAAGAATATTCTACATTAAGGAATACGGAATGAAGAATTCGAACTTCGGATTAGACAAGAAACACACTCTAATCAACTTGGATTACACCTTGATTTGCAAAGACAAAAAAAAGAACTTACTATTAGCTATGACCTTGTACTCTTCACCAAATCTCACTTTAGTCCTACATTCTATATTGACTTAGTTTATCACATGCATTATTTCTCTATGTCCTACTTTTCCTCTACACTTTATATTATCTCATTTTTACACATGCACTCCCCCTCAATGTCTCACTTTACTTTAATTCTTCAAATAGGTAAAAGAGTCGTTAATTGCTAATGTGGCATTATCGATTTAGTCTTTTCAATTATGTTAGCTAAACTCAAACCAGTGTTTGATTTCTCTAGAGTAAAAAAAAATATAAAGAAGAGGAGAGCGATAAAGGTAGAGATTCTCATGACAGAACTCTAAGATCTTTGCAAAAAAGTTTCCGAATGCATTGAAATTGATTTGCGAATCTTGAAATTCAATCTTTTCTTTTGATATTTTTCCCTTAATATGAAGAAATCAAACCTTGATTTAAGTTTAACCTACCTCACATTATCCATGAGTTCCACTAACATGCCATTTCACATGCACACAACTAACGTAATTGATAAGACTAAATCTTTCATGCCACATCAACACAATTAACGGTTTCTTAACTAATTGACGGAATATTATAAGGTGGAATACTAAAAAAGATTGTAGATGTTAAAGTAAAACAATATTAAGTATAGAGATAAAATGGAATTTGTTAATCCCCAAAAAAAAAAGGGCATTTGTTAAATAGTACAGGTGTGATAGCTAAGAAAAAAGAAAAAAATCAACTGTACCAGTGTACTGTGAAGTATATTCCTGCCCGATGCTTATTGCTTAAGGTCATGCCACGCTATATTGGCTGTGAGAGAGATACAAGTGGAGAAAGGACCCAAAAGGAGGACAAGAAGCGCGGATAGACACATGGTAGCAGGTAGCCTGGGATTCAGAGGGGACATTAATTGTCGTTTCTTTCTTTGGATCTGTACTCATTAATTCGAGGATGGGGGAAGGCCTTCCTTCTAATCATCAAATTAAAGAATCTGTGTCGTTGAAATTTGATCAAACGGTTAAAGTTATTATAATTTTTAAAGTGAGTCCATATTTGTAGCCGTTAAATTAAATTTTAACCGCACGAATTCCTGATTTGGTGGATTAAGAGGAAAGGATCCGGAGAGGATCTCTTTCCCACTAAATTTACTTCGATTTAAAAAAAAAATTAACAATTAGTTTTACTACAACAGTTCACTTTTTCGGATGTCAAAAAGAATTACAATGGTATTTTAGCTTTTCTATGCCACCAAGAATTACATTGGTATTTTAACTTCATCGTGTAATTTATCAACATTATGAATAAAACTAAAAATTTGTTCGAAAATTACAAACCTAAAATTCGTTCCAATCATCATGTCACCCAGGTGAATTTACTGCGATTTTCATCTAGGGCAAGTGCAACTAATGATTTGTTGGCAACATGACAAGGAGATTAATGCTCAAGGGTGAAAGAGAGAGGGAACTCTAGTATATAGATCTTATTGCCTGATGAGACAGACAGAATTGAAAAGTAAAAACAAGAATGATGAAGGCTGTGAGTGTTCTTGTTCATTTGGGCTTCCTTTTCCTCTTCCTCTTCACCTTCGCACAAGGCAGCAGCAGATCAATCATTCCACAGCCCCAACCTCTCACATCTTTCAATATCAACAAAACCCAGGTAATTAACATCAATTCTTCTCGATTAATACACAGATTATATTATTTACTTCATAATCTTAAACTACAAATTAATTTATATGTCACTCTTGCAGAACGCAGGGAGCTGTTCTTACACTGTATCAATACAGACCAGCTGTTCTTCGCCCCGCTATACACGAGATCAGATCAGTATTGCCTTTGGTGATGCTTATGGCAATCAGGTAATACTAGTCTTAATCTATACCACTTTTTGGATTTACCGTCCGGATTAACAGTCTGACAACGTACAGATGACTTTGACGAGAAAAGTACTGCAATTACAACTAATAAAACTAATAAGTAAATATTATATTCGATTTTTTGTTTCTTGGATGATCAGGTGTACGCTCCTAGAATCGACGATCCGTATTCGAGGACATTCGAGAGCTGCTCGACGGATACGTTTAAGATTTCGGGGCCATGTACATACCAGATCTGTTATGTGTATCTGTACCGGAGCGGATACGATGGGTGGAAAACAGAGGCAGTGACAATCTATGGCCATTACACCAAGGCTGTTACGTTTTACTACAACTCTTTTATTCCAAACGGTGTTTGGTATGGATTTAATCAGTGTAACGGTGCTGCAGCATCCTCCACTTGGAGCATGTAGCTGGGAATGTAGAGGAGATTAGCAGTGCAGGATTCCTGGTTAATTTCAGGTCATTTAGGGCTCTGCTATGTAATGTGTATTGATGCTTTAGCATTATGTGTTTGTTGGTTTTTTGGTTGTGGTGAGGGTTGTTGATTGATGGTATGAAGAACATGGAATTTTAGAAATAAAAGTTGATTTTAGTAGAGCAAAGACACTTTTTACGGAATAGGATCCTCTCCGAATCCTCTTTGTGGGGGGATCTGGAGGATTAATTAATCGTGTCCATTCATTGTACATCGTATGGTTATAAATTATTTTAAAATTGAAATAAATAGTCTGTAATGAAAATTGACCGCATGATGTACGATGAACGGACATGATTGATTGATTCTGCAGATTTCTACAAAGAGGATCCTTGTCCACTTTTTACTTTTGTTTTTAATTTGAGCAGAACAATTGTGGTTTGCTACACACTTATTAGAGGTGGGTGTATCTTGTTAATCTGAGGGCTCAGGGCGTGTGCTTTAATGTGACCTCAGCATTGAGATGGTGATGAATCTCTTGCCTCCTCTACTTAGTTCTCTATACAATTAATTACTTTAATGCATTGCTAAGTTACAATCCTATGCTGGACTCGTCGACACTTTTGATTAAAGTGAATTTACTATTTCTTTGGTTCATTTTAATTACCAACACAAATTAACTTTGGCTGTGTTTGGATAAGGAACTTCCACCAATAGAATTAGGATAAATTGGTTAGAAACCAAATAAATACATTACAACAAGGCAAGAGAATAAAAAATGGACTCATTTTAAGTAGTCATTTTAAACTCCTTCACGAAATCATTGTTGCACAATTCTAAGTAGTTTATTTTAAATGCTTTAGTACTCGCAAATCCAACATCCAAGAACAGTACATAGGAAGAAATAGAAATGCACGACAAGATCATTATAAATGTACCAATGTAAAAGAGATTTGTAAATAATTTATTCTAACTAGTCGTTTGCAAATTGTCAAAGCTGACTTCTCATCAAAATATTGTCCGCTTTAGCCAGTTTTGTTTCTTGGGCTTCCATACCCAAAACGTGTCTTGCTAAGAGAGATGGATGTGCACATATAAAGCGCAACACCTTTCCTCACCTAAGCGATGCACATTACAGAATCTCTCTCATGCCCCTTTATAATGCTCGTGTGATTCATTCTAATTTTTGTAGTTGGAATCAAATTTGTGCACAACAGCAGACGGATGTGATATCTCGTTGAAATCACCAAATGAGCACCGACCATGGGGGGAATGGGGTTGATTGGAGGGTAGCAAATATGTTTTAAACTGCCTACGTAACTTTGGAGAGTAGAATCAAATTACATGTAATTCTTCGAAAAAAGTGGTGTGATGAGAGTTACATCATGAGGCATCCTTAACGAATAAGTATATGTCGGGGCGTGGGAGAGATGAGCCTCCATGGATATGTCTTCGCATAAACGACGACGTGTAAAAGAGGGAGATGAGACTAGATGGTGTTGGTAATTTCAATGCTTAGTTTATGTGGAAGAGGGTACTAATGCAAAAAACTTTACTTAACAGGTTAAAACAAATAACCCATGTTAGCACTCTCTTCTACATAACGATTGTCAATGTTTATGTGAGACTAAGTAAGGTTTGTTTAGTAGTTGAAACTCACCAGATTAACATTTTTTTAAAAACAAATTGAAACAGGTTCTTGTGGGTAGATTTGTTAAGAACTCGATATTAACCTATTGATTTGATAATGACTCAATTAGTTAATGTATTAATTGGAAATTGTTATTTTTTATGTTATGATTGGATAATAACTCGATTAGTTAATGCATTAATCGGAAATTATTATTTTTTGTATTATTTCGTATCGTATTAACGAGTTTCAAAAAATCTGCAGGTCTAGGTGAGTCCAACGCAACCGGGAGGGTGATTTCGTCCACTCACCATCCCCCACACTCCTATATCTTCTGCACTCCATTCGAAACCCTAAGTCCTCTCTTCCCTCTCTCCGAACCCAAACCCTAGATCTAGAGTACCCCTTCCCTCCATTCATCTCCCCCAAACTTTTTTTCAATTTTTGTACTTTTTTTTTTCAAATTTTCACAGAGGTCTCGGCACCTGCAGATTATCACTCCGTATCTCTCTCTCTCTTGCTCAGTGGAAGCTCAAAGGTATGCAATTTAGAAAACCTTATCTGAGCTGTTGAATGAGTTCTTGAAGTTTCTGATTCGCAATTCCTGGTGAAATTGTATTGGCTGAAAGTCTAATTTTGGGTGGGTGTATAGAATGGGTGAAGTCAGAGACAACGATGGGTACGAAGAGGAGCTCGTCGACTACGAAGAGGAGGACCAAAACGCCCCCAACTCCGTCTCTGCCAAGCCTTCTGGCGATACCGTCAAAAAGTTAGTGTCTTCAGTTTATTTTATTTATTGTAAATCTGTATTTATTAATTTTTGATATAAAATTCACCTGAAATTACTATCACTAATCAATTGGGTCCTTGCTTATGTATGTATATAGATAAACGTTGTATTTTTTTAAATTTTGATTTTAGTAACACTTGTTTTTTTTTTTTCCGGTCGGTTTGTTCTTAGATTATTGGTATTGTTTGCACATTTGATTGGTGAAACTGAGGAAAAAAAGTATATAAAGTATGGGTTCCTTCGGTTCATTAAATTCTTCACAAAAAAATTTGATAGCATTTTTACTTGGGGTCTTGTGCTGGTTTGCCTCATGCGTTTTCTATGATTTAATCAACTGAATAAGGTTGACATTGTGAATGAGGTTGAGATTTAGCAGCCCAAGTATAGTTATCTAATAATTGCGTGTCCGAATAAAAGAAATTAGACCGGAAAGTTAACCTTCCTCTAGGCATTACTGTGGTTAGTGTGGGAAAAACATGATACTGTAGTGATTTATGGAAATTGCAGTTTCTTAATTTCTCAGTGGAGGGTAATGCTTCTATGCGTCTATCTCTTTGTTATGGCTTGATAAATGACAACAAAAGTTTGTTAAGATGTGCTGTATGTCTAGCTAATCTGTAATTCATATTTGTGATGATTTAATGTTATTTTGGTTTTAGTCCCCAAAATCTATTCGTTCTAACCTATTATATAATATGGTTCAGGGGATATGTTGGCATCCATAGTTCGGGATTCAGAGACTTCCTGTTGAAGCCGGAGCTTCTTCGAGCAATTGTGGATTCTGGATTCGAACATCCTTCGGAAGGCAAAGTTCTACTCTTTGTTTTCATTTTATGTCATTGGTTATTCTTGAAATAAATTTCAAGAGGCATTAGGCTTTTGATCTTTTGGTTGCGAAAAGATTGTTACATAATTATATATGGTTACGTCTCATTTTGTATTCCTGGTTACAAAGTAAATGACTGAGTTCATGGCATACAACTTGAGTGTGCACTATAGACTCCGAATTACTTTTAACTTCTTGTTAGTTTAGCTGGTCTGGGAATCGCTTTTAACTTCTTGGGAGTTTAGTTGGTCTGGTATGAGATGGCGTCAATATATCAGTTCTTTGGATGAGTTTCTGTTAAGTTTGAAATTTCAATAAAGCTGTTGATGTCAAGTATCTAATTGTTAACCATCTTAAATATTCGAATGCCTTATGTTTTTTCCTCCATTGTTTTTATATGTTAGATTAGATGTGCCATAGGAATTGCTAATTTAAAACATGCAACAATGCGTAGGGCTATCCACAAATCCATTTTTACTTCTTACATACCCCTCTCGATTTTCAGCCGTTGGATTGAATGAATTGAAGATTAATGGCCAAAAATTAACAAGGGTGTGTGAGAGGTAAAAATGATTGTGTGAATATCAATATCCTTTGCAATTAGAGATGTGAACACTCCCTCATCACCTTATTTTTGTTACATGGAATGTGAGAATGGAAAGATTGTTGTACTTGTTTAAGCATCTTCCATGTTTAACTGTTTCTGAATTTTTTGTTTTCTTTTTTCTGTCCAGGTAATCACTAATTCCATATTCATGATTTCGGCAAGAAAACTGGTTTGGTAAACCTTTCCATTAAATGGATCTGGAAGGTCATTTATACTTACTGAGGTTTCGTCCGGTACGATTTTGTTTGCTTCATCAGTTCAACATGAGTGCATCCCTCAAGCTATTTTAGGAATGGATGTTATTTGTCAAGCAAAATCTGGGATGGGAAAAACTGCCGTCTTTGTTCTGTCAACCCTTCAGCAAATAGATCCAGTAGCTGGTCAGGTTGCTGCTCTTATTCTTTGCCACACGAGAGAATTGGCTTACCAGGTATGTTCTGTGAATTTAAGTATAGAGAAATCTATTTTTGAACTATTACAATGCTGATCTCTGTGTCAGTGTGTGATGCATATATATATGTGTGTTGGATATGAAGCAAGAAATGTTTCCGTCGTACATTTCTATGTTCAGTTTCTGTTTCATGAACTAACCTCTGTGTTTCTCGGTACAGATTTGTCATGAATTTGAGAGGTTTAGTACTTATTTGCCGGACCTGAAGGTTGCAGTTTTCTATGGAGGTGTTAGTATCAAGGTTCACAAAGATTTGCTAAAAAATGAATGTCCTCACATTGTCGTTGGTACACCTGGGAGAGTATTAGCTTTGGCAAGAGACAAAGAGCTTGGACTGAAGAATGTCAGACACTTTATTCTTGATGAATGCGATAAGATGCTTGAGTCACTTGGTAAGTGTTTTGCGGCTAATTGTTAATGGACATTTCCTACAATTTCACTGTGGAAAAACTTGTTTTTGTTTTGTTTGATTTATTTCTCCATTTGTTCTATCTTTTCAGACATGAGGAGAGATGTGCAGGAGATATTTAAGTTGACTCCTCATGACAAGCAAGTGATGATGTTTTCAGCAACACTAAGCAAGGAAATACGCCCTGTTTGCAAGAAGTTTATGCAAGATGTAATGTTCACTTTAATCCTTGACATGAATTTAGAAATAATCACCTTATTGTGAGTGTATATTGTTGGTATAATATTAATTACTGGTCTTACTCCTAATTTATTAGAATTTTGCTCAACCGGTCTGCCTTGGACAGTGAATCTGATCCCAAGGTTTTGGAGCAATCATATAACAGTCTACCTGTGTCAGGCAGCATACGGAGATTTTTTCTTCGTCTTAGAGTATAATTATAATAATAGAATGTTATGGATACTGCTTCTTGGTCTTATTGTTCACATTTGCTTATTATGGACATTGGAGGCCATTGTGTTTGAATTCAACTTGTGATCATATTTGTTTGTTGCAGCCCATGGAAATTTATGTGGATGATGAGGCCAAATTGACTCTTCATGGTCTCGTACAGGTAAGTCTAACATGTGAATCTGATTGATGATTTCTTGTGTTGTTGGTTAAGTGTTTCTTGCTTGCTCACCCTTTTGCTCTCTTGCTGCAGCACTACATCAAATTGAGTGAGCCTGAGAAAAACCGCAAGTTGACTGACCTCCTTGATGCATTGGATTTCAACCAAGTTGTTATTTTTGTAAAGAGTGTAAGCAGGGCAGCTGAGCTGAACAAGTTACTTGCTGACTGTAACTTCCCCTCCATCTGCATTCACTCTGGAATGCCTCAGGAAGAAAGGTATGCCTTCCATCCCTTTTGGATGACATCGAATGTGTGAGTGTCAAGCCTTCGTCCATATATTATTTTCTCACACCCCATTTTACCTCTCACACACCCTTTTAATTGTTCAATGGTTTTTGAGGGTGTGAGAGGTAACATGGGGTGTGTGAAAATCACCACCCTATATATAATTACATAAAAAACTATTAAGCAAATAATAGGGTGTGCGTGAAATAAACTTGGGGGTGTGAAAATCACCACTTTTATTGAAAACATATGCTAACAGTTGCTACCATTCATAGTAAGGGTTTAGTAATGTACTTGGTTGTGTTATTCTACTATCCAAATGTTGCACAATTTTTTTACGCTAAAAGAGTGAAATTCTTTTTTTTGTTTTTTTTTGTTTAAAGTTAAATTAGTATACTTTTGGCTTATTAGAGTATTGTGAAATTGGTGCGTTGATTTGATTTCTTATGTACTACATTGTAAACTGTCAGACTTCTGTCCTAATAGATGCAATTTTTTGGTTCTTTAATTCTTGATTGAGAAAGGGTAGTGCTATTCACACACCTCTTTTTACCTCCCACAGACCCTTGTCAATTGATGTCCACTGATCTTCTTCAATTCATTCGATCAGAAGGTCGGAAATTGAGAGGGGTGTGTGAGAAGTAAAAATGAGTGGATAGCACCACCCTTGAGAAATTGTAGGTCCCTGTAGTTCACTATAGCCTCAAGCAGGCTTATGCGAGTCCGTGCCCCAGCTTATAATTTCGTATGCCTGTGCTCTTTTTTGGGATATATTGTTGGTTTACCGTGTGAATGCATTATGATCTGCAAGTACAGATGTGTTAATTACTTTTTAATCATTTTTATTATAACTATTCACTGTTGCTCCAGCTGGCTATAAAGCTTAGATACGGTGGAAGTAATTTTTTGAGAGTAACGTCATAATTAACATGTTTGTAAATTATGTTTCATATCCTTTAAGTTAAAAAGAAGTCAAGTTTTCCCTCCATCTGAAGTTTATAGTTAAAAAGAAGTCACTTATGCTTCTCTTTTTCTGCTGGTTACCTACAACTACCCATGAATGGATCACTCAAGATGTCCCTCAAGTAGAATCAATTCTATAGATATTACAATGATCATAGTCCTTCCAAATAATACCCTCATCTGACCTAATTCAGTGACTAATCTACCTACTTCCTTAGTTGGGACTCTCCTGTCGATTAGCATCCATTAACTATGGTTCCTGTTCCTGTGATTATCCACTAGATCTCTCCTTGCTACGTTTGGCTCTAGAGGATGATGTGTAAATCATAAAGCGAAGCATTTAGAGGAAGTAATTGCATTGTTTTAGCATAATTATATTCGGGATTTCTGATTTCCTATTCATCATTTCTTATTTCTCCAGTATTTGTTGCATATGGCATGATTAGCACGCCCAATAATGTCACTGATTCTGGTCTGGTTTTAGAAATTGAAAATGAACAAAAAAGGGCCTTTGTTTCTTTTTTCTTTTCCTTATGAATAATAGGGGACCATTTACATGGTTTAAAAAATGTTTATGAATCTTATGTCAGTAATTGTATGGTTTGGTTGGTTTGACTTTACTATCATTTCCACGTGATTGGAGGATGTTTTGTTGTTGCTTAGTTGGTTCTGAATTGTTTTTTTTTTTGTTTTTGCTTGTTGTCTTTTGTTTATCTTGTTTGTGCATTAGACATTTAGATGAAGTTGTAAATTCAGTTTGGAGTGCAGATGGCTAAAAAGGAGTGCCAAAATTGTTGTGTGGGATTTAGCCTCATCTAATTTGCATGGTTTTCCGATTGCAGGCTAAAACGTTACAAGAATTTCAAGGAGGGGCTTTCAAGAATTCTTGTGGCAACAGATTTAGTAGGAAGGGGAATTGACATTGAGCGTGTTAACATTGTTATCAATTATGACATGCCTGATTCTGCTGATACCTACTTGCACAGGGTATTGTTTCATTTGCATATCCGTGTTAACAGTTTTGTTGTTTGCCTATGTTTGTCGGGGGCGTACACACTGTCCCTAAACTCTGGCTGTGGCTGATGGGTTTTCCTTCCTTCACAGGTTGGCAGAGCTGGTAGGTTTGGTACCAAGGGGCTAGCAATTACATTTGTATCTTCTGCATCTGATTCAGAAGTTCTTAATCAGGTAAGTTGTGTGCTTACGTATGTACTATATGTATATAATACATAACCATATAAACATAATTCAATACTGGCCGAATTTCTTATGCTTCTGCTATTCCTTCTCTTAATCGAAATCGATCGGTTCAGGTCCAGTCAAGGTTTGAGGTGGACATAAAGGAGCTTCCCGAGCAAATTGATACTTCTACTTACAGTAAGATATCCTTTTTTCATAAATTGTACATGATCTAGTATAAGCATTAACACAGTAACGATGAATGAAGTACCGTCAATAGTGAATGTGACACGCATGAATCGAGATACTTGTTTTTTTTTTTCTGTTCAGGAAAAGATAAAAGAAAAATCTGGAATCATGATGAAATCTTGTGGCACTCTTGCCTTGTAATTTCTGATACAGATATACTCACAAATTGTTCTGGTTTATGCAGTGCAAGTGTAATCATTTTCCGAAGGGAACCCTGCAAAATTCAGGCGACGGTGGACTCTGGATCTGGTTGCCTTGTTCCGGTTCAGTTAGTAGCACATTTGTTTTGAATGTAGACTATTTTGTTATAAGGGAAGCGGATTTAGGATGCTTTTGTTATAGGAAGCAGAGGATCTGTACGGTTGAGATTTAGCTGAATTGTTTATGATAATGTGATGGTAGTTTTAACTTAAGATTTCTTTTCACTAAAGTTTATGCTCATTTAATTTCCTGTATTTATTTACTTGATGGATGAAATGATTTTGGTATCTTTTCCTCGCATCTTTTTGACATCAACAATGCTTATTTATCAAAACATTCATGGTTTTATAGCCCATCTTCTCGGGTTTTTAATAGTTTATGGCCAAAATTTCATCCTTAATTTAGACAAAAAGCCAAAACTTATAGACTATAATACCCTCAATTTAGACGGCAATTACTCATAAAGCCAAAAGGGTTTTAGATAGGCCGTGAGGGAGGAGAATGGCTAACAATCGAGTTGTAGGCGCAATAGAACCGTCGGGCCAAATTCTCGTATACTTTGGAAATTGGACTCAGATGACAAAATTGTTAAAACAAAAATACATATTTAAGCATAATATAAACCAATAGATTAATGGAAAACCGATTGCTTTCCAATTTCCGCGCCATTCATGGTGTATTGAGAACATTGTGATAAACCACGGCAAGTATTTAAGTGAAAATGTGGTAGAATTTCAAGTCAAGTTTGATTCTTATTTTTGGGTTCGAGGCACGAAGTTGACAAAAATACGGATCATTCTCCGGTTAAAAGCTTTGAGAGGATGTTTTCCATTTGACTACGGCCAGGAGTGTTAGATACCTCAGGTTTTGGCAAAAAAGAGAACATTGTAGAACTGTATGCCGAAAGAGCATCATTCAACTTCAAAGTCAAGAGTCTCAAGACTAGGAATATATGGGAGTGTCACATAATTTTTATGAACTTTTGTTCATAAGTAGTAAAATTCACTATTCATAATTGAGTTAAGTAAATATTCCTGGCATCAGTATTATGTTGTTCATAGTTACAATTGCTTTGTCAATAGTTATGACTTCATAGTTACAATTGCTTTGTCAATAGTTATGACTTACACTTATCTTAATGAACATTGATATGTATTACCATATGTTGTTCATAGTTAGAAAACTTGAGAAGAACTATTTGAGTTGTGCGATGCTTTGTCCGATTTTTTGAGCTTAGAAAAATCTGAGAGTTAATTAGTAATGTTCACGTTTAATTTAGTTTTTAATATTATTTGTTTAGTTTGTCTTGATTAGCAGCCCTTCCACTCCCTGGAATAAAATGATCCTTGCTTGCTTTTACTATTATCACATTAATTGCAGGGATTAATTTGAGTGTTAGTTTCTACCACATCAAATTTTGGCGACATTGCCACGGATTAGTAAATTTGCTAATCCCTATGTGTTTCCTTTTGTTTTTCTTTTGATATTTGATTTCGTTTTAACTTTCTTTGATTTCAGGTACTAGAGAAGCAAGACATTGTAGTTGCCAATCTATCAAAACTTGAAGCTAAAATGGCTTCTCTTAAGTCGCATATTTTTGAAGGGCGAAAGATGCAAAGGGTGGTTACATTTGGCGTGTGCTCTATGCAAGGATATCAAACTAATCAACATTCTCGCTTAATTGAGAATGGATGGTGGGGAAGTGTCAATGTCATGGGTTATCAAGAACGCAAGAAGAATGATTCCAAAAAAAGAAGTCGTAAGAGATTGTTTAGAATTCATCAATAAGGATGTTCTTGAGATAACTATCGCCGTAGAATTGGAGTTGAATACACGGGGCAAGCTACAACTCTCAAACCAAATCTAGGCGAGAGCAAAAACTCTGCAAGTTTTGAAATCTTGGTTGCCCTTAAGTTTTTGCCGAAGCACACAGGTAACCCCAGCTCCCCCAATTTCAATTCCCTTTTCTACTAACAAGTTGTTACTTTCAGTGATTTAGACATCAACTTTTGAGCTTAAGCCATTACTGAATCTCTTAAAGTATCACATTCCATTCGGTGATTCAGGTATAAAGGGGCAGAGAAGAGAGTATATAGTTGTATTTTCTTTCAATTTTCTTCGCATAAAAAATGGAGAGATCATATCTTCGTAAATGATTGATTTGTGATATGGAATAAAGTTTGTGCTCTTGGTTGAATTAGTGTCGCCGCATTAGTATGCGATTGTGTAATGATTCAAAAACTGTTATAGACTATATGCTGCCAGATGCTATCGAAATAAAACTGCTATGAAAAGCTAGCATTCGAAAAATGCTACGGACAGTTTATTATAGTATTATAGAATTGCTATAGTAAAGTTTCCATACTTCAGGGAGTCCTAATTTAGTTAGGAGTGTGATTGTGTAAATCCTATTGGGATTCTAAAGTTTCTTTTAGACAGTGTCTTATTTCAGTTGTATTACTTAAAACAGTTGTATTACTTAAAAGGTAAGGTTTCTCACTTAACAAATAAAGACACAATAGAGTGAAATAATTGTCACATCCCGGCCCGGGTTCACCGCATTCCGGGCCCGTTCCATCACCGTAGTACGATATTGTCCGCTTTGGGCTTACCATTCCCTCACGGTTTTGTTTTTGGGAACTCACGAGCAACTTCCCAGTGGGTCACCCATCCTGGGAGTGCTCTGGCCACCTTCTCGCTTAACTTCGGAGTTCCGACGAAACCCGAAGCTAGTGAGCTCCCAAAAGACCTCGTGCTAGGTAGAGATGAGAATATACATTTAAGGATCATTTCCCTGGACGATGTGGGATGTTACAATCCACCTCCTTTAGGGGCCCGACGTCCTCGTCGGCACACCACGGCCAGGGTTAGGCTCTGATATGTTACAATAATACACACATCAAAATTTACCAATTCCTCTCTTCTCTCTTTGCTTCCGCACCTCTCTCTCCCTCTATATAATTCTTTAATTAAATAGGCTTGCAACAATGAAAAGTTTATTATAGCATTTTAAAATTACTATAGTAATTTTCATAGCATTTTTGAAATGCTATCAAGGGTGGTTATAGCATTTGTAAAATGTTATAGATGATATTTTATAGCATTGAATAAATGCTATAAAAAACATTTCATAGCAATTGAAAAATTCTATAGAATTGTAGCATGACCTAACATAGCATTGGATATGCTATAGAACACTTACTATAGCATTTTTGGTTTGCTACAGAAAGTGGTTTGTGGTGTAGTGTATGCTCATATGCGTTCATCGTGTACTTGTTAGAGTTAACCTTGTCACTTGGAGAAGTAAGAAATAAAAAGTGGTAGCTAGATCGAGTGTGGATACCAAACCTCGTATTGTATCACATATTGTTTGTGAATTGCTTTAGTTGAAGAACTTGAGAAATCTTGGGTTCAGACCCAAGAAAGCTATCAGTTTGCATTGTGACAAAAATTAATGCAAGAACTGAGATCGCTCAAAATTTGATACAAAATATGTTGAGATTGATCGGCTCTTTATTAAAGAGAAGTTAGATAACGGAGTGAAGATCTGTTAGTTCATTTTTTTACTCTAGAGTAGTGTGTTCAAACTTGTTTGACAAGTTGAATATGCGAGACCTCTGTACACCAACATGAGAGAGAGTGTTATAAGACAACTTGGTATTTTAGGAAAATATCATTAGATTTCCTCTTGTATCTTCGTTTACAAGTATAGCACACTTGTCCAGTCACCAATATAATTATCCGTGTTGGAGAAGAATAATAGGTCAGAAAATTTCAAAATATTTTGATGAACTCATGCACACGGACATAATTTCACAGAAAAGGGGTGCCGTTGACATATATAATTTAAGAAGAAAACAAGGATATAATAAACTCACTGGAGAACTATTGCCATCCATTTTTTTGCTAACAGTTTCACTCGGGGGCTTCTGTCTGTTTGCAAAGAAATCGTATATACTTAACAATTTCCAATTCATTTCAAATTTAGTGCCAAATCTAAATTCTTTCTTTTAAATAGTGCAATCATGGGCCTCATTTTTGTCTCTAGTCGATAATTTATCACAAAGTGATGATAATTATCCAATCATTGGTATCATATATATAAATCTGGTAACCTAAGACATATAGAAGATAATTATATGTCGTTTAATTTCCATATGAAACCTACGAAATATCATGTTCAATATAAGCCGTGTTCTTGCACTATATATTGCTCAAATTTGTGTTTCACATTACAAGGTCCCATTCCATTCCTTTCATTAGTTGCTTCTTTTGCATTTTCCAGCATACAATGGTAAGAAGTTTCAATGCTTCGTGATAAATTTTACACTTACTTTAATTTCTTCGTGGAACAACTGGAAAATAACTTAACGTATTCTGTGATATGTAACCAACCCTGCATGCAGGATAATTATGCAGCTGCTTTTTGTATTATCACTACCGTTGTTTCGATAACTATCAATTGCATCGGTGCTGATGTGATTCCTGGCGTATATGACGTTCTAAATTATGGGGCTATGGGAGATGGGACTACAGACGATACACTGGTGATGTTTTTATTTATATTGTTTTTTTATGTTTTCTATATTTGGTTCTTCAAATCTCTTGAAATTTGATTTAATTCTCTCTCTCAAACATAGCGCAGGCGTTTATCAAGGCATGGATTGACACATGCAACTCAACCGCAACCGTTCCTACAATGTTGATTCCAGCGGGAAAGATATATTTCGTTTATCCCATGAACTTTACAGGCCCTTGCAGGTCTATTGCCACCTATGCCACGGTAAGAACTAAGAAGACACAAATTAAGAAAAGCTTTTTGGTCCAAATATGAACAGTATTAAGACGATGGCCTGTATCCAGGTCCGAAGTTCAAGCTGGCTTACTTGTTGAAATGATTCTTATGTCTAAAAGTACCCAATCGGTTTATTTTTATTAACAACGGTTGTCTATAAAATTTGAATTCAGGACCTCCTCAAACTTTCAGTATTGTGTTTTCAATAATACATACATTAACACAACAATAAAGGACCCTTTTTTATTCTAAACTATCTGAACGGAGAGAGTGGAAAATGGCTACTACTATTTTTTAGTGTATATTGTTCTACTATTGTAATATGTCTTTTGTTTTTAATAAATGACTTTGTTGTTCCACTTTCTTTCCATATATAGCTATCTGTGGTGATTGTAGCACCAAATACTCCCGATGGATGGAAAGGAGCTGACCTGCTGGCGTTTAGGGGTGTAAATGGCCTTACTTTGAATGGCTCGGGACTCATTGATGGACGTGGTAAAAGCTGGTGGGATGTCTCATGCAGACATCATCCAGAATTTAAGGTAATCGATTATGACACTAATTATTTGTATTAAAATGTGTGGTTGATAAGATATATTGTAGAGGGTAAAACAGAAACTAGAAACTAGTCCTCCAACCTACTCAACCTGTATCTCGCTATTTATGGGTAACAATTTCCATACTCTGTTTATCCTTTTTCATTGCAGTTTTATACCTTCTTTGTATCTGCCATGGAGTGGTTATTCAAAGCTAGTTTATGCATATGCTTACTTGATGCAGCATGAAGCAATGAAAGGGTTACCAGCGTAATCCCTTGTAGAACAAAGTTACTGGAGTCCACCAGTTGATAGAAATCCCAAAGGATAATTTGATTAATTGATTGAAAGATGTCTAAATGATTACAAAGCCATGGCTTAAATAAGCCTTTTACAACCTTTTGGGAAACTCAAAAGACTTAGGGAATTAAAATGAAAATAACTGACATATAATAAAACCCTTGAAACCCCAAAAGACTCAATTTATTAGTAGGCTGCTGTTTTGATGACTTTCTGCAAAAGATGGCTCGAGCCACTTTTGTGGGAGAATTGAACACCTCTTCTACGACCGCACCAGAAATGAAAGTAGCGTTCATTCAACAAAAAAAGTTCAAAACATCAACTTTCGAGATATGACCGTAGCAAATAATCTATTAACACGTGAATTACCAATTCTCCAATCACTTTTCTTTATTGCTCGCCGCTTCTTTCTTTTAGTTTTATTGCACGTGAAATAATCGGATTTCTGTCCTACATCATTACTTCGATCAAATATATTGTATTCGGCTTTAAGTATGTATATTTCTTTGAGTTGGATGTTTTAATTATAAAATATGAAAGGGCTATGGATAATACCCTAGTTTAACAATCCAATTCCATTTCCTTTTCCAAACTACTTATTACTTTTTTTTTTTTTTTTTTTTTTTTTTGGAGAACCTCGGCGGTACGAGGGAAATTTATTGATAAGAAAAAAGAAGATACACCTAGACAGGGGGGGACATAAACCTAACCCCTCATAGAACAAGAGAAAAGAAATACAAAAAAGGGGGGGACATGCACCTTACCCCTTTTGAGAAAGGAAATACAAAAGAGGGGGGGGATATAGACCGTACCCCTCTTGGAAAAGAAAATACAAGGAAAAGACTGGGCGGACATAAGCCCAAACCCCTCTATAAACCTAAAAGGTAATAACCTGCAAGACAAGCTGCAAAACAAAAGGGAATCCAAAAAGGTTAGGAAAAGAAAGGAGAACACACATCAAGAAGAGGAGACAAACCTGTAGGTTGGCATGCCCAAGAAATCTGAGTGCATAGGAGGAAGGATCTCTATAGGGGGAGTGGAATGCCAAACAAGAGAAGATGATAGAAGCCCTAAATTGGCTAATTTGTCAGCAACAACATTCCCTACTCGAAAAATATAAGAGCAACGAAAAACCATGTTCTGCAAATGGAGAGTACAATTGTTCCAGCATGTCTGGAGAGACCAAGGGGGAGAGAAAGATCCAGAAGCAAAACATGATATTACACTAGAAGAGTCACTTTCAAGCCATAAATTTTGCCAGCCCCGCGCGTGGGCCAATTCGATAGCAAGGATGACAGCATGGAGCTCCGCATAGAAAGAAGTACGATGGCCCAAGCTTAGGGAGAAACCACCAAGAAAATAACCTGCAGAGTCACGAAAAACCCCGCCACATGCCGCAGGACCCGGATTACCTTTAGCAAGGCCATCAGTATTCACTTTAACCCAAGAAAAAGGAGGGGGGAGCCAAAGAACAGGGACAATAGAAGGAGCTTTATAGGAGTTAGGCGATATTCCAAGAGAAACTAAAAGTTGCCTATCCAAAATGCCTCGTACATGGCCAGGGGTGAGAACTCCAACCTGCCTAATCCAGGCCGAGGTGGAGCGGCAGAGACGAGAGAGGGAGGGAGGTTTGCCTTCAAACTTCACTTTATTACGCATCTTCCAAATAGCCATTAGTAAGAAAAACCCTGAAGCTATCCAGACATTGCGAAGATGTGGAGAAAACCGCTTTGACAGAAAAACAAGCCATAGATCAGAGATGGAGCCCGTAGGTGGTATAATAGTGCCAAATTGGGTAGCTAGCCAACGCCAAGCACATTGTGCAAATTCACAGCTAGAAAATAAGTGGTCAATAGATTCAGAATTCTTGTGACATAGTTGGCATATTGGAGCCAGCGGGATGCCTCGGCGCTGAAGTTGATCCTCCGTTGGGAGCTTGTTGAATAGAATCTTCCAAACTAAAATAGAGTAACGAGGTGGGATGAAAGGACGCCAGATAATGGAAGCCCAACTCTTAACAGGAAACCGATGACGAACAATTTCATAGCCATCGGAGAACGAAAAAACACCAGAAGTAGAGACTTCCCAAATTAAAACGTCCTTATCCTCATCAATTGGAAGAGGCATTTCTAAAATCTCTTTAGTTAGGTCTGGGAAAGTAGAAGAAAAAATAGAAGGAATAACCCATTTTCCCATACGAATAATATTTGAGACCTTAGTACGAGATAAAGAAGGAGCAATCTCTGTTGCACCAACGACGTCCACAATAGGATTATCCAGCCATTTATCAACCCAAAGGGAAGTAGTAGAACCATTTCCAATCACCCAACGACAATTCTGAAACAAGATATGAAGAATGGATTTAATACCAGGCCATATAGAGGATCGCTTATAACTACAAGAATATAGGCGACCATGTAGCTTGAAACGTTCCCGAAGATAAATACTCCAAGGGGAATCAGTAGTAATAATAAGCCATCCAAGCTTTAAGAGAGCAGTAGTGTTAAGAGAGCCAAGATCACGCAACCCCAAACCACTTTCATTCTTTGGAGCACATATCTGACGCCAAGAAACGGTAACAGACTTCTTGGAGGTTACGTCACCAGACCATATAAAATTGCGAGCACATCTTGAAAAAGGCCTTAGCAAGGAAGAAGGCCACTTATAAACAGAGAAGCTATGCAAGAGCATACTTTGAAAAACTGATTGAGTGAGTTGAACTCTTCCTGCCATAGATAAAAGCTTCCCCTTCCAACCAGTTAACTTAGCTTTAGCTTTATCTGCCAAGGCTTGAAGATAACTCCTTTTAGGCTTGCCACAGAAGATTGGAACTCCTAAGTAGACAAAAGGTGCTTTGCCTTCTTTGAAACCCAAGTAACTCTCAACCACAGCTTTGCGATGCCTTGAGGTAGAGCCCAAGTAGAAAGTACTTTTTGCCTTATTGATAAATTGACCAGAGGCTCTACTATATCTATCGAAGAAACCTTGCAAATTACGCAGAGTGACACCATCACTTCTACAGAAAATGAATAAGTCATCTGCATAGAGAACGTGAGAAGGAGAGATACAACCTCTTGGAGCAAAAGTTGGCTTAGTAAGCCCATCAAGTTGAAGACAACTCAGGCCCCTTGATAACGCCTCCTCAGCTAGACAGAAAAGTAACGGAGAGAAAGGATCCCCTTGGCGCACTCCTCGGGAACAAGAGAAAAAACCATGCGGGGAACCATTGATTAGGATGGACAATTTAGCAGATCTTAAGATGGTAGAAACCCAGTCTATAAAACAAGTGGAGAACCCAAAGTTAGTAAGCACCCGCAAAAGAAATGACCAATCTAAAGTATCAAAAGCCTTAGCTATATCAACTTTGACTCCCATATTGCCACCACGAGTTTTTTTGTCAAGCACATTGAAACATTCTGAAACAAGGCCAATACAATCTGTGATACGACGGCCAGGTATAAAAGCAGCTTGATGCGGAGAAATAATGCGTTGAACAACATGAGAAAGACGAATTGCCAAAATTTTGGGAATAATCTTAAAGAGAAAGTTTGCCAAAGCAATAGGTCTAAAATGAGTCATGGAAATAGCGTCTTCCACCTTCGGAATCAAAACTAAGAAATTACTATTGGCATTGGGGTATAACCAATTTGATTGAAAGAATTGCTTCACAAATTGAATAACGTCAAAGCTGACAATATCCCAACAATGGTGATAGAAAAAACCTGGAAAACCATCTGGCCCTGGCGCACTGGAAGCACTTAAGGAGAAAGCTGCCTCCTTAATTTCCTCATCAGTAGGTAAGGCAGATAAGAGATCATTTTCAGAGTCTGTGACCATCGGCTGGATGACTTCACAAACCTCATCAATACCTGAAGGGGTGAAAGAAGAGCCGAACAAAGTCTGATAGAAATTAACAATATGGTTTTCAATTGCCAGCGGGTCAGTAAGAAGATTGTTTCCATCAAGAATACAACTGATATGAGAGCTGGATGATTTAATACGAGCATAGGCATGAAAGAAAGAAGAATTTCTATCCCCTTTAGTTAACCACTTAACACGAGCTCTATCTTTCCAAAATGCCTCCTGCATTTGGAGAGACTCCATTACTGTAGTCTTGGCGACAATCTCCTCCTCGAAAAGATCATTATTTATACCCTCAGTTGAAATTCTTTGTTGAATCATAGAAAGATTATGCCGAGCATTAGCCACTCTATTATGGACGTCACCAAAGACCGAAAAATTCCATTGGCGCAAGCAGGTTTTTAGAGCTTTCAATTTTTGCAGAATGATAAACATAGGACAACCATAGACAACGGTATTTCTCCAGCAATGAGTTACAGTTTCTCGAAAAGATGGATGTTGAACCCACATTGATTGAAAACGGAAAGGACGATGACTATTGCTCAAAACTCTAGAACCAGAGAAGATAAGGGGGTTGTGATCTGAGACTACCTTGGCAATGCTATGCAGTTAGAGTGGGGCCAAGAATCAAACCAGCTAATATCACACAAAGAGCGATCTAACCTTCTTTCAGTGCGACCACGTGACCTCCAGCCATTAGACCATGTAAAGGCTGCCCCAGATGTGTTCAAGTGGGTAAAGTTACAAGTGTCAGACATATTACTAAACTGAGCGCATGAAGCTTGGGACGGTCTGCCTCCTCCCATCTGCTCGTGGGCGCCCAGGATAGCATTGAAATCACCAATAGCCATCCATGGAACTTGTGTTTGTGGGCGCAGAGAGATAAAATCAGCCCACAAGTCTCTTCTTTTGATAGGTGAAGTGCTTGCATAAACAAATGTGAACTGGCTTGGGATATGGTCAAAAGTACAGCGAACCGTAACCTGTTGATCCGAGATAGAGATAACTAAAGGGTCTGCACAAGCTGAAGATGTTAGTAACCAAAGGTTGGGAGCAAGAGTTCCTCTAGAATTAAAAGTAAGAGCAGATAGATTTAAAGAATCCCAATAAGCAGCTGAAATAGAATTAAAAGTCACCATAGGCTCTGCAATGCAAACCAAATCCGGGTGATGCAACCGACAGATGTTAGAGAGCTCCGTCCGAGAGTCATCGTTACCAATGCCACGGATATTCCAGAAGAGAACCTTCATTTATAACGAGCTGGTATTCCTCGGACCCTACTTGGATATGGTTTATCAGAGGGTTGATTAAGATTGGCAAGCTGCTTTTGTTTTTTCCGTTGACTATTAGATAACACAGGAGTAAAACCATCCATATCACAGCCTTCTATGTGATTGACAATATCGATGACATCCTTAGCTAATGTCGCAACATGTTCAAAACCAGGGGGAATGCTATGGTTGTCATGAGGATCCTGCATGCCAAAATTATTTGGGACATCTGTGTTGCCCAGCTGCTGACTATTATGAGCTACCGTCTCGACCTGCTCAAAGCCAGGAGGAGTGCTAGAGTCGTCACAGAGATCATGTGGGCCAAGATTGTTTGGGACAATGGTGTTGCCCAAATGCTGACCATAAGAAAGACCATTCAGAGGATGTGATCCATCTGGAGACAGCGATCCGGTCATAGAATTGCTAATATGCGAAATCCCAGGGGATTGAATACTAATATGCGTATCAGCGGTGTCAGTTTCTGGTATGACATTACCAGAAACAGCTGGCGTTATTCCAAGAGGAGACTGAAGAATGGGCTCAGCATTACCATCATCCGCTGCCTTAATACCTGGAGGCAACAATTGATCAACCTGTTGAAGAGGTTCAGGTTCAGAAGCATGTGACCCACAAAAGACATTAACCGGTATTGTTGTATCTTTTATGGGACGATATTCCATGTGCAGTTGGCTGCGAGAGTGATCTCCGGTTTTGTTGTCCCCCATGTTACCACCCTTTCGCGTCCGGCTACGAGAACGACCTCTCGACATCTGTTTAAGTTGTCTGCAGCTATTAGCCAAGTGCCCTATCAAACCACAGTGACTACATTTGGGCGGTAAATTTTCATAAACCACCTCAACCGGGAAGCCATGACTTTCTCTTTCAACCATAAGAGATGTAGGTAAATCATCTGCAAGATTGACATCAACTAATATGTGTGCATAATAACCATATTGCCTTTCCCTTGTAGCTGAATCTAGTTGCAAGGGAGTGCCGACCCCTCTCGCAATTTCCATCAAGTGTCTAGGATGCCAATATTCCTGACTCAAACCAAAAATTTTGATCCATACCTGAGCATGAGTTTGAGGGAGAACATCACCTGGTTTAAAATCTGGCGTCCATTTTGATAACCTGAATAAACCAGTAGCAAGAGTACACGTACCGCCACCCTATGCCCGTCGCATATCATCTTCCTTATTGAAATGGATATCAAAATAACCTTTTACCTATAGGAACCAGGTTCCATCCATGGTGCAGTAGGGCGCCATGCATCTTCTAAGCAAGATTTTAGAGCACCGGTCTTCATTGGCGTAGAACCCTTTTTTAGGAGCAAACGCCCAAGGAGGTTGGTTATTTTGAAACAACTTCAACTGTTCTTGGTATAGATCCTCGCTAATTTTGACATATGTTTTGTCCCCACGCACAACCGGAGTTGGAAGTTGGCTGAGATGGACGTCTTCAATTGGGATGGAAACGACAAAAGCAAAAGTCCTTGCCTTCAGAATTGGTTGAACGGGGGGCATATTAGTTGTCGGCATAACCGTCTCTGCAAGAAAACCCCATGGACCCATGGACAGACGATATTTGTGCCCATGATAATTCAGTTTAGAGTTGTCAACACCATAAAGTAAGGTTGAACGCCGAATAACCTTGGGCGGTTGAACGCAGAATAACCTTGGGCACCCTGAAAAAAAAAAAAAAAAAAAAAAAAAAAAAAAAAAAAAAAAAAAAAAAAAACGCAGATTCTCTGGAGCAATTCGTCGAGCAGGTACAAGGCACCACAGCCAAGCAACCAGAGGCAGATCAAGCTTCCGGCAGGAGGAGGTGCTAGTACCGAAGAGAGCTTTCAGATTGACTGGGGCAATTCGTCGAACAGGTACAAGGCATCCATTAGCAGAGAAACAATCTTGGAAGTTTGGAACAAGGGATGGTTGCTGTCGATGGTTCAAGTGTTGGTCATCGTCGGTTGCGGGTGCAGGTTCAGAATTGCAACGATGATGATGCGGATTCAGGGATTCCTTTTGTTGACGGAATTCCAGGAAATGATGCGGTTAGGCAATTTATGCACAGCGGCCAGAGCAGAAAATGTTGATCTTGTAGCAATCACTCAAAGTTCTCGGCCGAATCTCACATATGACCAAGTCTTGTTGGTTGTTCAGTCTTTTGATTATTGGTGATGGTTGATCATTTAGATAGATTGCAACGGCCGACACCTTGCTGTATCGGCGGGCTTCTTTTCCAAACTACTTATGTATTATGTATTATGCTAATTTAATTGAGAATAGATAAAGTTTATATCACACTACTTCAGTAAACTTGCTACATTTATGTCTGTATTATTTACGCATTTGTTTCTTTCAAATAAGTTAGATGTATTTGGAATAAATTTCTTATATAGAAAGTTAACTTAGGGTTCGTTCAAATTTTTGAGTTTCTATCCTTATCTTTGCAACTGACCCGGTTTCCTTTTTCAACAGGGATGTATAGGCCGCGCACCTACAGTAAGTGCTCCTTTGTAATTTCATTTCAAAGTTTGTAATTATATACGTATCATTGAAGAAAAATTAGAAACGTATACATGCGTGTTATGCTTATGAAGTTCCATTCCATATATGCGCTGCATTGCAGGCACTTATGTTTCAAGGCTGTAAAGAAGTTTATATGGACCACTTCAACGTTGTAAATACTCCACAAACTCATATACTAGTATGGGGATCTGAGGGAGTTTATTTCTCATTCATCAAAACAGATTCACCTGGAACCAGCCCCAACACTGATGGCATTCACATTCAAGACTCCCAACATGTGGAAATCCATGGTGCAGAACTAAAATCCGGTAGACTTTTCATATCTAGAATTTTCGAGTATTTTGGCACTGTTGTTTATTTCGGACTGATCTAAATCAAAAGAGAATTAAGAGGTAAAACATAAATAAGGCTGTGTAGAAATAAAAAAAGAACGTGGGGAAATAATATACCTTTTCTATGTTAACGAAACTCAATTAATTTACCTATGCTATGTTAATGTTGATCAATAGGCGACGATTGTGTATCCATTGGAGACTACTGTTCACACATTTATATAACTGACGAATCATGCGGACCTGGCCATGGCATAAGGTTGGTCATTTATTTCCTTAACTTATTTTTTTTCATATCCGTGGAGCCAAAAATAATCACAAGGCGACACGTGGATTTTTAGATAAAAAATGACAAAAATATCCTTGAGGTACAACGGGATTCTTACGCGCGAGTAGCGGGCAATCATCCTTCAACTAAATAAAAAGTGCCCAAAATAGGTAACAATTCAAAACCTATCTCATCAAATCCCTTCTACAAGGTAACTCCCAAAACCAATTTCATTCCATATATCTTTTACCTCATTTTCCCTTTTTTAGCTAATCAATTAGCTATTTATTTTATTCATTCCATAACCTCCCAAAAATATTCATTTTATTATGTTAATTAGCCAATTAATATATTTATTCCTAATTAATATATTAATTGTTAATTAAATCACCAAATAACACCCAAAAAACATCCCAAAGGCCGGCCACCTTTTCTCCAAAGGGGACCGGCCATACTCTATATAAGCTACCCCATTTCTCCAAAAAGGGACGTCCACACTCTTGCAAAACTCCAAAAACTCTCTAAATACTTTTTCTCTCTAAATTCTAACTTTGGCATCGGAGGTTCTTCGGCCAATGTCCCCCATTCATCGTGGGCATGTGAGATTCTTGGCCTTGACCTTAAGGTTTTAATTGTTCTGTAGGTGTAATTTTGTCCAAGAAGAAGAAGGCGGAAATTTGCATCCACAATATCATTACGATACTTTTCTAAATCCAAATGTAGAAAGAAAAATTATGTTCGAAACAAACTAGTAAGGTAGAATAGTATTAAACAAAACTTAGTAAACTAATCTGTTGAAGCCGAAAATGTTAATGTGTTATCTCGGTGGTGTTTCATTGGCAATATATAGCATTGTGAGATTAGGCCATCTCCAACCGAAGGCTAGCCAGATGGCTCGTTTTAGCCCTCTGGCCTTCCAAGATATTAATATTTTAATGAACAGTACATGATCATATTTCTTACCATCTCCAATTGAGGGCCAAAGGGCCATAGGGCTCGTTTTAGCCCTGTCACAACAAACCGTCTCCAACCGAGGTTCAAAGGGTCATAGGGCCAAACATAATTTATTATTTAAATTTAAAAACTACAACAACTTATATTTAAAAACTAAAACTTAAATTTAAAAACTACAAATTAAATTTAAAAACTACAAATTAAATTTAATATCCATAATCAACATCATATTCATCATCCACCATTGTAGGAGTATAGTCAGAGGTAAACAACTGCCGCCGGGTCATAATATCTTTTTTTTTCCTATCAAAATAGGCCTTACTCATTGGAGTGTAATTCGAAGTGCTCATTTTCATATTCTTATCATCCATCTTCTTGTATTTGTTTGGCCCGTTCTTCATGCCTACGGTTCCTTTCTTCCGCGGCAATGGCATTTTGTTCCGCTTGCAATGAGGCCGCCACTTCCTGTTGAGCGGCGTAATCATCATTTGCCTTGCCTTTTTCCTTCAACCTTCGGGCCTTATTTCATCCCATAGCCCTAGGTACGGAACCTTCACCCGAAGACAAATTTTCTACACTTCTTTGTTGAATGGTAGGAGATCCATCTTCATCCATATCTACAGCTAAGGATGCAGTTCCGAACACCGGCGTAGGAGCTCTATGTTGAGGTGGATCTTCAAATAACACCCACCCTTTACAAATTTCCCAACAACCATGAAACTGAAAGAGTTTCAAGCTGCCCTCCATATACAATTCCTCCACTTGGCGTACCTAGAAAATATAATTACAAAAATTAAAGGAAATTAATTTATGAAATTAAATGTAATATAATTAAATATATTTACAAAAATTAAAGGAAAGTAATTCATGAAATTAAATGTAATATAATTAAATGTTTAAAATAAATTGTGAAAACACTTACTTCGTCGTAGTAACTAGCTCCGCTTTCATGTCTACTTGCGGCTGCTAAAAGTGCTTAATGCCATTTGTTCAAACTTGGCTGAAGATGTTTCTTCCATCTTGAAGAACAACTCTCGTGGTTTCGGGTATTCGGTGGAATGGTGCCTTCGTAGAACTCTAAGTATTTTTTGGACACACGAGTCCAAACACCATCACTTGTGTTTAAGAACTCACCCTCACACTATCTTTCGACACCCATCTATAAGCCCTGCAAAGAGCTTCATCTTCTTTTCGGGTCCAAGCCCTACCTTTCATTGCAGATGAGGCCATTTGAAAGTTATTTAAAAAATTGAAGGAAATATTTTTGGAAGAGTTAAGAAAATATGAGAATTGAAATGGTGTAGGAATGGTGAAAAATTTGTGAGGAATAGTGAATGAATGGTTTAGGTATTTATAGAAAAAAATTTGGCCCAAAAAACAAAATAAAAAATAAAAAACCAACGATAATTGACGTCAGCTAGCCGTTGGGGATTCAAAATTCCAACCCACCCCGGGGCTGGCTGGCTGGCTCGTTTGGGCCGGCTAGTTGGCCTTTTGGCCATCTCCAACCGAAGGTTGGCTAGAGGACTCGTTTTAGTCTTGTCACAAAAAACCGTCTCCAACCGAATGCCAAATGGCTATAATATGGAATGTGAATAATTGAAATAAAATGAGGTAAAATAATATGGAATGGTGAAAAAATATGTGAGAAATGATGTAGGAAAAAATTAGAAATTAAAAAAAAAAGTAAAAAAAAGGCTGCTGGGCATAAAAACAAAAAGTGGGTTGGTACAAAAAAAAAACAAAACCTAAGCCATAAACCCTAAAGTGGGCTGGGCATATGGAAAGGAACAGAAAAAAAAAAGAAATTGGGCTAGCCAGCGGGCTGGCTGAAAATGACCAACCGGTTGGCCCTTTGGTCATTTTTTGTCCAATGAGGCCCACAAGCCCTTTGGCCTGGCCCTCAGTTGGAGATGGTTTTCGAACTATTTTCGGCCATCTGACCCTCTGGCCCTCTGGACCCTTCGGTTGAAGATGACCTTAGAAAACAACGGAAATGAGGCACGGGTTGAGAACATCTCTGTGCACAGGGCTCGGTTCTATGGGACAGAGAATGGGGCGCGCATCAAGACTTGGGAGGTAATTTCGTCCGCAATACAAAAACACTTTGACTTTTTACTTCAGAAATAATACATTCGGGGACAAATTTTGTTATTATATTACTTTTTGCTATTCATATATATAACAGACTGCCAAAGGATTGGTCCGCGGAGTTTCATTCGTCAATTTAACTTTCAAGGAAGTCGGGAATCCAATTACCATCGACCAACATTATTTCTGTCACAAGCGAGAGGGTTGCCATGAACTGGTAAGAATAAAATTTTGACAAATTTAGAGTCGTTTGATTATCATTTCATTTTTAGTTTTCAATTTTAGTGTTAGAGATAAGAAGACAGTATAGGATACAAGAAAAATGAAGGCTGTTAAAGGGTGGTGGGAGGGAGGGGAAGAATAAAAAAGATTGAATGAAAACAAAATCTTTATATACCACTGATTTCTACGATGTCAATCTTCTCTGTCCTTAATACAAAAATGACTATAAACTATAAACGAAATGGCAATCAAACGGAACTTTAATCTAACATAGTAATTGTTGTGTAATTAATACTGTATATTGTCTGGTTGCAGAGCACTGCGGTTCAAATAAGCGACGTGAGCTACAGTGGGGCAGTTGCGACATCCATTTCGGAAGTAGCTATTAATTTGAATTGTAGCACACCAGTCCCATGTACTGGAATCACCTTAGAAAACATTCAGTTGGCCTCGGCAGATCCAGACATGAAAATAACATCAAGCTGCCACAGTGTGCATGGAGTAATTAAGGGAATTGTAGAACCACCAGTTTCATGTCTCTAGCTAGCTTGGGGTTAACTTCTACAAATTAAACCATGCTTAAGTAGTCATTTTGTAATCTCTCTTCTTTTTCTATGGATAAGTTCTGTTTCAAGCTTTTGCATCAAGTGTCGAAATCTATATCACTTCCATTTTGCATCTCTGTGTGTTAATTTTAGACTCTGGTTTAATTGGAACATACATGGTCTATGAAATTGACAACCCTCCTTAAATTACGATGTTTTTCACTAAGCATTTAACTTAAAAATAGTTAACAGTTTGACCAAAAAAAAAAAATCTGACCAGATGAGCGTAGTTTAACAACGTTGTTATTGTCTATTTTTAAAACATCGCGCGGAACCAAATTGTTATATCACCTAAACATTAGGGCTCAAGTGTAATTGACTTATGAAGAAGAAATATGAGAAAAAAGAGAGAGGTTTTCTGTAGTTCAACTATGTAATTCACTCTTACAAATGATACCTCAATAGGAAAGTGATTTTTATGTCTTTTTTTTAGTCTCTTACACATCCCTATTTGTTTTTAGCTATCAAATTGGATAAATCAAACAGAATTAAGGGATATGATTAAACAAGAGTGTGAGAGAAGTCAAAAACAGAGCAATGACTTAGAGACTAAGGTTTGGTTTGGTATTGCTGTGCTTTGAAAAAAAATCGCTCTGCTGTGTTATGAGAATAAACAACTATGAAATAAAGCAGCAGAATGTTTGGTAAACTTTTATGTAAAAGTACTTTTGAAAAAAAAAACAGTATTATAGTGTTTAGTAAACTTTTATGTAAAACAGATGTGAAAAAAAACCGGTTTTTCAAAGCTGGGTTTTGCAACTTTATGTTTTTGGCTTTTTTTTTCTCTCAAAACTGTGAAAAAAAAACTGAAGTTGAATGTTTTACCAAACACAAAAAAAGCTCCCAACCCACTTTTTCAGAATCACATCAGTACCAAACCAGGTCTAAGTCATGCACTTAACTACCAACAGACTATTACGTCAGATAGTGATACGTATCACTTGGTAATATATTCTAAACTATTTTATTTGTTACATGTAATTATCTTTATGTTAACACTTGAAGTTAAACTGCTCACTTCCCAACAAATAGTTCTGACAAATATACGATGAGCTCACACCCGTTTTCCACCCCTTATGGTGTTAAAAATATACACACCACACAATCTAATTAATTTTAGTAAAAATTTGACTTTAGTCCCTAAACTTAATTTTTTCCACATAAAATTTGACAAAAGATTTTTATTTGAATAATGACACATAAGACCCTGATGTTCAGTTCACACAAAAATCTAGCGTTTTAACCATTACCGAATGGGTGATGAAGTTATGATATGCATGAAATCATAACTAAAATTATCAACTACTAAAATCTATAAAAAAAAAAAATTGACAAAACTTTCCCTAAAATAGGGATAAGCTCGAATCAAAACACTTGCAGGTAATCACATTTATTTCAACACATCTCTGAATGACCACACTTAATGGGTCTCTGACCCTTTATTACATGCATGAGAATGAGTTCAAAGCATAATTACCCAAATGCAAGTTCCATGAATATGTTAAGTAAATACCATACTCAGTGGAACATGTCAGAGTTGCTCAGAGTATCTCGACGTCCGATGTTATCATTGATATGGCTATTAAAATCCTGGGAGGGAGTTTTTTTTTGGGAACTTTAACGAAAAGCACCCGGTACTGTTCACTTTAACGAAAAACCACATTTTTACACTAAAAAGTCAATCCTGGTACTATTCACTTTACCCTTTATTTTGTCCTTATCATTAAAACTCAAAGTTTTCAAGCCCTTTTCATTAGTTTTCTTTTTTTTGGGGGGGGGGGTGAGGATGGGGGAACATAAACATATGAGTGGATGAAAAATAAAGTTTTCTAAAATAATTTTATTTTATGAATATATTACTGACTCTCTATTTTGAAATCACATATAATACAACATATGATATCTGAAAAAACTAAGCATGCCATCAAGAATAATCCAATCATCAATAATCACATCATTTTGTTTGTAAAATTTAGTTAAAAAATTTGGTCTTCCCAGCAATAACCTCTACATATAAATATAATTATAGGGTAGGGTTAAAACCAATGCTACTTCTGCAATTTGCATTTTTTAATTGGTGCATTCTTGAATAATTTCGGATTTTCTAAGTAAGTGAACTGTCAACAATATGAACTTCATACTACTATATGTTGCAGTCGACATCGGCAGTTAAAGTAATTAAGTGACGTTTACTTCAGTTCAGTTCATGGCACAACAAGCACATATGAGGCAATCCAATTAAAAAGCAGCCAAATCTTTGCTTGCATCAACATTGTGCTTACTGATATAAATATAGTTTCGGCATCTCTTAATAACTCTCATCCTGGCGCTAACTGTTTCAATGCACATGGAAGCTCTGGTCCAACAGTTCCCCTTATCAATTATTTTTTACCGAACTGATCTGATAATGGCGGTTTTAATAGAACCAATCGGATCTATAGACGCGGGTTAACCGATACCGGCTTCTTGTTGGTTCTGTTAACCATATCAGATGGAAGCCATTAACATAGAACACAAGAAGAAAGAAAGCTTAAGAGAGAAGAAAAGAGACGAGAGAAGACTTTAGAGAAAGAAAGAGATATTATTTTCTTTATTACTTTTTCTCCTTACAATCTTCTTACAGAATAATAGCTATATACTATCATGATCTTGTTATAGCTAGAATATCCCAATCGTATCCTTCAATCTAGCCACTGTATTAATGACAGATGGCACAATCTAAATGATTCAGTTATATACTCTTACATCCCCCCTCAAGCTCAGGTTGGGATGACCCAAGCATGAGGTTGGAGCAATGAGTAGTAAACAATGGTGAACTAAGACCTTTAGTGAGTATATCAGCAAACTGTTCTGAGGAGGAAACAAACTGCACAAGGAGTTTCTTGTTGGCCACTCTTTCGCGGACAAAATGAACATCCACTTCAATGTGTTTTGTCCGTTGATGTTGCACAGGATTAAAGGATAGTGCAATGGCAGACATATTATCACAAAACAAAACAGGAGTATACTCGAGTTTGATTTTCAAAAAAGTAAGAAGTTGCTGCACCCAATCTAACTCGGCAGCAGTGGATGACAACGCCCTGTACTCTGCCTCAGTTGACGACCTAGACACAGTCTGTTGCTTCTTAGAAGACCAAGAAATAGGATTATTTCCAAGAAATACCACTAAGCCAGTAGTTGACCGTCGATCATTAGGGTCTCCTGCCCAGTCAGCATCACTAAAAGCCTTTAGGATCAACTCTCCACTACTGTAACTAATGCCATGATTTAGAGAACCTTTAAGATATCGTAATATTCTTTTAACAGCAGTGAAGTGAGAGATCATTGGAACCTGCATAAACTGACTAACTTGATGAACCGAAAAGGCAATGTCAGGCCTGGTAAATACAAGATACTGCAAGGCCCCAACGATACTCCTGTATAGTGCTGGATTGTTAAAAGGTTGTCCATCATCCTTAAGAAGCCTATTGTAAGGCAAACAAGGAGTGGCTGCAGGTTTGGAATCCAACATTTCTGTTTTCTTCAACAAGTCCTGAATGTACTTCTCTTGAGATAAAAATAAACCAGAGGCAGTTCTAGTGATCTGAATACCCAAGAAAAAGTGTAAAGGACCAAGATCCTTAAGCTCAAATTCTGTAGTTAACTGGGCAATAACTTGTTGAATTGTTGCAGCTGCACTTCCAGTGATGATTATATCATCAACATACAACAAAAGTATCACAATTTCAGCACCAACACACTTGACAAACAGTGAAGAGTCAGAATAAGTATTGTTGAAACCCAATTGAGGTAAAAACTGAGTAAATCTATCATTCCAAGCCCGTGGAGCTTGTTTTAAACCATAAAGAGACTTGTGTAATTTGCACACTAAGTAAGGATATCTGGAATCTTCAAACCCGGGAGGTTGTGACATGTATACCTCTTCATTTAAAATGCCATGAAGAAATGCATTTTTAACATCAAGTTGTCTTAATGACCAATTAAATTGTGCAGCAAGAGCAAGAACCAATCGTACAGTAGTAGGCTTTACCACAGGACTAAAAGTTTCCCCATAATCCAATCCTTGTTCCTGGCTAAACCCCTTCGCTACCAATCGAGCCTTATGTCTGGCAATACTCCCATCAGCATTCCTTTTTATTTTAAACACCCATTTACACCCAACTAAATTCTTATTAGGGTGGCAGATCAACCAAACTCCATGTATTCTGTGAATACAAAGCTTCAATCTCCTCTTGCATTGCACTATACCAAACTGGAACTTTTAAAGCTGACTTATAAGTGGCTGGTTCAATTGTTGTTAAATCAACCTCAACTGCACTGTGAACAGATGCTAAGAAAACTCTCTTCTTTATGATCCCATTTTTAGACCGTGTTTGCATAGGGTGTAAATTCATTGGGGGAATATCATGAACCACTTGCAAGGTCTCTGAGCTATATTCAGGTACCACAGAAGAATCTTGAGCAACAATGGATTGAGAAGCAGGTGAGTTTGTGGATTGTGGTATTGGGTGAGGTGAAGATTGTATAGTAGGCTGAGAAGGGTGAGTATTAGATGATTGGGTTGATGGACAGGTTGTTGATGGGGTAACCAGGATATTTTCAAGATTAGGAAGCACAGAAGAATAGCTAACAGTAGTTTGAGATGGTTGTGGCACAGAAATCTTAGGTTTGAAAACCATTGTGGCATATGGAAAATCTATTTCGTTAAAAATAACATGCCTGGATATATAGATTTTCGCATGACTAGGATCATAACATATGTACCCCTTATAGGTCAAGGCATATCCCAAAAAATATACACTTAGTAGACTTAGGTTGGAACTTGTTGCTGTTATAAGGTTTTAACAATGGGAAACAAGAACAACCAAAGACTCGAAGATGATGAATATATGGGATTACAGAATATAATTGTTCAAATGGAGAGTTATTATGAATAACGGAAGATGGCATTCTGTTAATTAAGTAAACTGCTGTTTGACAAGCAAAAGTCCAGAATGTAGAAGGCAAATTTGCATTTTGTAACATAGTGAGAGCGGTTTGAACAATATGTTTATGCTTTCTCTTAGCCAACCCGTTTTGTTCAGGGGTATAGGGACAAGATTTATGATGAAGAATGCCGTGTTGAGCAAGAAATGATTGAACAGATTTACTAATATATTCTCCCCCCCATCACTTTGCAAGATCTTAATTTTGGCTGAAAATTGAGTAAAAACATACTGATAGAAGGAAATGAAAATGGAGACAAAATCTGATTTATTTATCAAAGTAAACAGCCAACAAAATCTAGTACATTCGTCAACAAATATGACATAGTACTTGAATCCATCCACAGAGACACAAGGTGCAGGCCCCATAGGTCACTATGTACAACTTCAAAAGGTATTACAGATTTGGAAGTAGCTGGATAGAAAAGGAAGTTTACTAAATTTGCCTTCTAGACAACTTTGACAAACTATAGAAGACACATCCTTATTAACAGCAACATTAGATTTCCTAAGTGTAAGAGAAACAATAGGATTTGAGGGATGACCTAGTCTGCAGTGCCACAAGTTTGAGGTGACAGTATGTCCAAGACAGGCAACAGCTTGATTTGCTTGTTTTTGAGGTATATGAGGTCTGGTAGTAAAGGAAGAAATGGGATACAATCCATTGTTGCAGAGTCCCTTAAACAAGATTCTCCCTGTGGCTTTGTCCTGAATCCAAAAACAGTAAGCATAAAAAATTAGCCAACAGTTGTTGTCAAGACAAATGCGATGAACAGACAACAAATTATGAGATAGCTTTGGAACATAAAGAACTGAATTCAGTTTTATAGGCTGTAGAGAAGTCCTTAAAAGAGAATCTCCAATATGAGAAACTTGCAAACCTTCACCAGCTGCTGTTTGAACTGTATCATTTTGAGAATATGGTGAAGCAATGGACAAATTACTCAATTCATTCGTCATGTGATTGGTTGCACCAGAATCAGTTAGCCAGACTTGAGAAGGGACTTGATTAGGCATTGCAGTAGACATAGTGGGCATAGCATAGGAAGAAGATGCATTCATGGAAGGAACCATGTTCACTGAGTTCATAGTGGACATGGGAGGCATATGAGAAGAACCCATATTCAACATGGGAGGCATAGCACTCATATACTGAGGTTGCATTGAACCAGGAAAAACAGTATTCATAGCAGTCATTTGTGATGGAGAATTCCTTCCTTTGTTTCTGTAAAAACATGTCTTGGCCGTGTGATTACTTCTGTCACAAATTTGACAATTCTCCGAAGAATCATCACTTCTATACACACACGTGGCAGCAGAATGGCCGTGTAGAGAACATATTTGACAGATGACATTTGAAAAGGAAGTACCATTGTTAACATGAGAAGGACTACCAAGTATACCAGGAGCAAAATCATGAACTATAGGTTTAGAATGATAGAACTTTTGTCCCTGATTCGAACCAAATTTATGGCCTTGATTATATGTAGCCTTGCCTTTACCCTTAAATTTTGACTTGTTGCCACCATTATAAAACGAAGATTGGCCAGAGTTCCCATGAAAACCATTAGAATTGTGAAACCCATTGGAGAAAGATCCTTGATATGAAGATGATGAAGCACCAGAATGAGAAGCTTGATTCTTTACCATCATTGCAGTAGGAAAGGAAACACATGAATTGTTTTCAATAGTAGCTTCTTCCGCAAGTAACTGGGCACGAATTCCTTCAACGAAATCACATTTTCTTGGCCACGAATAACACATCTAAAAGTATTGTATTCTGCAGGTAGACCATTTAATGCCAATATGACAATATCTTCATCGACAAATATAACACCAGCAGCAGCAAGGTAGTCTCTTGTTTCTTTGATGCGTTGAAGATATTGGGAGACAGAATCAGCCCCTTTCTTGATTGTTTGAAGATCAGACTTTAACTGGAAAATAGAGGTCTTGCTTACTGTAGAAAACTGTTCTTGAAGACGAACCCATAGATCTCTAGCACTACTACTCCCAATTGCACAAGAAATGGCCATAGGAGACAAGGTAGCAATGATAAGTTGCATGAGAGCCCTATCATGCATCTTCCAAACCTTATACAAATCTGATTCAATTCTTGCACCAGACCCAGAAGCAGTAACTTCTGAATCAATAGAAAATTGAGATGGACACGGATTTGTTCCATCAACAAAATCCATAATTCCATAGCCTTCAAGCATTAACTTCATTTGGAAATGCCATTGAAGGTAGTTGGAGTCATCCAATTTAACCGAAACTGAAGTTGAAACAGAGGACATCAACCCAGTAATTGGAGACTGCAAGATTTGCAGTTGAGTTGCAGTAACCATAGTGATAATTCTCTCAGAAGAATAAAACCAAACAGTTGGTGGGCAAAGATTTTCAGAGTAAAAATCAAAGAAAAGGGCAAGAACTAGAACCCAGAAATCAGAGAAGTGATTCACAAAGATGAAAAGAATGGAGCGGAAGCATAAGAAACCAGAATCGAAGAAGCTTACGATCGAAGCTTAGAGGGCGAGTGATACCATGTTAACCATATCAGATGGAAGCCATTAACATAGAACACAAGAAGAAAGAAAGCTTAAGAGAGAAGAAAAGAGACGAGAGAAGACTTTAGAGAAAGAAAGAGATATTATTTTCTTTATTACTTTTTCTCCTTACAATCTTCTTACAGAATAATAGCTATATACTATCTTGATCTTGTTATAGCTAGAATATCCCAATCGTATCCTTCAATCTAGCCACTGTATTAATGACAGATGGCACAATCTAAATGATTCAGTTATATACTCTTACAGGTTCTTCTTTAATCTTACCGTGATCCATCTTACTTGCAGATATCCGATATTTCTTTAATTATTGTATATATAGTTTTTTATCAGTCTTTACTTTCAATTTTTGTTTGTAGTTTTCTTAGTTTCATGTCATGTTACAAGTATCACATTCACATTTATTAGAGCGAAGTTCATGGCGCAATAATATGACAATTAAATTTTTTGGGCTAAAAATTCTAAGTTTTAACCCAGAAATAGTTTTTCTGCTCCAACCATTTTGAGCTAAATTTTTACCCCCCATATTATTAAAGAATGAATTTAGGCAATTTTTTTTAAATAACATTTAAAAAAAATTAAGTGGACTATCATAAATTAATTTTATGAACATTTTAACCTAAAAATATTTAAATTCCGATAAAAATTGAAAAATCATTAAACCAACACATGAAACTTATGAAACACTATGGAAAAATATGAAATACATGATAGAGATGTATAAACACAAGACACATGAGCAAACACATGGTTTAGAAAGAAAAATTGGAAGAAATGTAGGAGAAAGGTGAGTTTTGTGTGGATGTATATATATAGGTATTTATAGAGTTTTTGGGTGAATTTTGAGTTAAATAATTTTTTTATAATTATTTTAATTGTTGAATTTAAATTTGGGCTATTAGATCTTTTTTTTACCGTTAGATTTGATCATATTGGATCTCAATCGTTGGATCCAATAAATTTATAAATATAAAACAAAAATATTAAGTAGATTAAATGTGGACCATTGGATAACCAACAACCCGTTTGAATGTGAGCTGTTGATCAACCAAAAGAGCCAATGGACTCAATTTTATTGGCAAACAAGTGGGAGACACACCCATGTGGGTGGGGCCGCAAAGGGCTGCACTTAGCAACTTTGAAGTTGGCTAAAGAGCGTGTCTCAAGTGGTGTGGTTGAATTTGGGCGCTTGTTGTCCAATTTCATCTATTCTACTCTCACATGTGGGCTCCACCACTAATCTTGCCTAAATCTTGGCTGGAATCTGGCTTTTTTTTTTTTTTTTTTTTTTTTTTAAAGTTTTAAGACTTAATCTCGTTTTCGAACAAGTGTTGGAATGAAATTGGGGAGAGGGGGGGGAATAGAAGGGAAAATTTAGAACTTACTCCAATGGTTGAAGTTGGTCTTATGAAGCTCACTCTGTATTTCTTTTTATTTTAATGAATTTCATTTTATCTTATATAATACTACACAATTACTTATTTCAACGATCCAAAGAGTCTATATTTTAATTCATTATGTATAAATCATCTTAGCAAATAATCAGGCAAATCCAAAATCATTAAGATGTCCAATTTAAGTGAAGAAAATAAAAGAATACAATGTTTTAAAAAAACACTTAAATGACCAACATTTAATCCAACGATTATGTAGCTTCTTATTTGGGTATTTTTCTGTAGTTATCTAATGTGGAATGATCATATACGGTGTCCCTCAAATAAGGGGATATGATCCTTCAAGTAAAGCTCACTCACTATATGTAGTCTCCGTATCTCCAGGAAACACCATAAACTCTTAACTGTTTCAATGCCTACGGAAACGCGTGCAGGGTTCAGCAGTTCCCCTGTGGATTGTATGTTTCCAAAATTGGCTAGAATTTTCAACACAGTTGATTTCTATAATTAACAGTACTGCATTGACTCTTATCCTTTTCTTTATAGCTTGAAATCCAATTACAACAAATTATCGGTGTCAATTGCTACCTTTAGATTCGCAGCTAATACCTAATTAAGGCACTGACTGCCCTTCAAAGGATTATTTGTCATTGAACAAAATATTTGAAACTTTTATTGGGGATAAAAAATACGGGACTGACTACAATATTTATATATATTTAACACAATCATTATTTGACGGTTTTATATAATTTATGTGTATAATACCGTCATTATTTCACCTTCGAGATGGTAATTGTATTAAATATATGTAAGTATATTGTAGCCAAATCCCATAAGTATTCATGGGATTTCACCTTTTCTTTTCAACAATTTTGAGACTTAAAAGTCAAACTTTGTTCAAATAAGTAGAGAGTAAGTATCATTAAACATAAATTTGATAAACGTATGTTTTTTTCATAAGAATATAGGGCTTGTTTGGATGTGCTTTTAAAATGACTGAAAGCGCTTTTAGTGAAAATATTTTTGGAACAAATCCTTATCCTGGAAAAGCACTTAAAGTTCTTCCTAGAAAAAGCACATAACTGGTGCTTCTTGCAGAAAACACTTTAAGTGCTTTTGGAATAAATTTTTTTTCTCTAAAAGTGTTTTCAGTCATTTTAAAAGAATATTCAAATGAACCCATAATTATTTGAACAATTCATTGTCGTAATCATTATATTTTTGCAAACACTTAGTCAAATTGGAGATTTTTGTTAGTGATTAATATGTGTTAAGTGGACAATTTATGATGAAGATGTTAATTATTGTTATCAAAACCAATAATTTATAATTGAAAATACGGTAATCAAACCCAAATGGACAAGGATGTGTACTCATATCATACGGTGGATGAAAGTATTGTCCTGACATAATCCCTTCACCCTATGAAAGTATTATCCTGACATATATCCCTTAACCCTAGAAAAGTTTATTTATTTAATTTTAATTTTTTTTCTACTTGTGTTCTCATGAATGAAAAAAGGACCATTAAGCATTATCCACACATCTATTAGCGGGAAAGCACACCTAATTTAACTACCAACACGCCTAATAACTACCAACACGCCTAAGACTCGTTCCTTACCACCCAAAAACCTAGCTATATCTCTCTCTTCTCCCTCAACCCCCACAACCGTGGTGCACATTTGCATCTGACACCCAAGCCAACACTGCCGGTGCAGTGTGTACCTTTTCCGCCCCGGCACGGTAGCACACATATACAGAATTTCATAGCACATCTTTGAAAACAAAAAAAGAAACAAAAATGTATCCACCTCCGCCGCCATACTATGGCGCTCCACCTCCAGCAGCCTTCTACGCGCCACCACCAATGATGGCACCACCAAGGCGGTACTCTCCATGGCTGGTGCCGCTTATATTCTTGGTGAATCTCGGGATTTTCATATGGATAATGTATGAGAACAACTGCCCCTCTAGAATGTCAAAAGATCAGTGTATGGGAGGGCATTTTTTGGATAGATTCTCATTCCAACCTTGGCGCGATAACCGCATGATTGGTCCTACCCCTGAAACGTAAGCTCTCTCGATCATATATATTTGTCTTTTATTTTTTTTATTTATCTGTCTCTAATTACGGGATTACAAAAATTGTTTGATCAATGCTTTTCTCAATTGAGATTTCTGAGGCTTGTCAATCCAATTTATTTAAGTTTAATGATCCAGGAATTGAAGTTTTTATAGCTAAAAGTGACATGGAAGGAAAAGTACAGCATAATGTAGGGTTAATTTTACCTTGTATTATCGTAAATAAAGATTAGGTGGTAGTGAGAGGTTTAATTTTGATCAATCTCTGCTTAGGTCAGATTAATCTGTTGTATTCTGTACTTTTAGAATTCGAAACAAAAGAAAAATTTCGACATTGTAGATTGAACTTTTGGCATTCTGTTTAGCAGTTGCTCCTTGGAACCAACTTCAGCATAACTTTCTGGGGTAACAAAGAATGGAAAAGTAATACCGGCTAATAAGCTTCCTCCAATTACTTCGAAGGGAAATGATTTATGCACACCCTTTTTTTAGCCATTGGATTGAACAGAGTATAAGGGAATAAAGGGTGTGCACAGAACAATTCCCTACATCTAAAACCTAATCTAATTGCTAATATTTGCAGTCTCCAAAGACTAGGAGGCCTTGATAATAAACTAGTGCTGAATGGTGAAGCATGGCGCCTGTTCTCCGCAATGTGGCTACATGCTGGGCTGATTCATCTGTTCGTCAACATGCTCAGTCTTGATTTCGTAGGGCTCCGGCTTGAGCAGGATTTTGGATTTCGTAAGAACTTTGGGTTAAAGATTTACGTTGAGCACTTTAGTTTTTACATGATCAATATTGAATGGCAGCTAACTGTTGTTTAACCGTTCGGATTTGGCAGACAGATTCGGATTCGTGTATGTGCTAGCTGGGTTAGGGGGAAGTTTAGGGTCTTGCCTTAATATTATCAAACAACAAAGGACAAGCAAGACTATATCAGTTGGCGCATCTGGGGCAATTTTTGGATTGTTGGGAGCCTCACTTTCTGAGCTGATCACAAACTGGACAGTCTATGACGATAAGGTAAATCTTATTTTCTCTTCTCCTTGTATCCAAGACTACGTCGTTTAGGTTTAACGCTGCGTTAAATAATCCATGAGGGGTACATCTAACATCTAACTATCCTCCTATTCAGTGCTCGACAATCATGATACTCATCCTCAATGCTGCCCTGAACTTGCTCATTGGATTTCTACTTCATATGGACAATTCAGCTCATGTAGGAGGACTCGTCGCTGGATTTTTTCTTGGTTTTGTGTTTTTTGTTAAGCCTCAGTTGGGATATGTAAGCAGCAAATACATGCCAACACACACTCAAGTCAAGCGTACAGCAAGGCACAACTTCTGTCAATATTTTCTGGGGGTCGTTGGTTTGGTCGTGTCCATTATTCTGTAAGTGGTTAATTTCTTTTTTTCTTTCGACAATTGATTCAAGGATGCAAAAAAAAAAAAAAAAAAAAAAAAAAAAAAAAAAAAAAAAAAATCGATTATCTAACAAATTTATGTTTATTTTCTAAATTTGCAGATTTGCAACTGCCTTCGGTAAGCTATTTAACATAAAGGAGATTAAACAGCATCTGCCTGATAGTGTAAACAAATATTGAGCCTGTGTAAGCTTTGCGTAATTAATGGACAAACAATACTTTCATGACGGTTCAACCGCATGTTCTTCAAGAAATGAAAGTATAAAACCATAAACTGTACTTGCGTACATACGCAAAACGTATGTATTAAACACATGCATACGTATCATTGATGTGTATATATACCTGCCAATGTTCAGATGTAAGTGTGTATGACGGAGATGATTGTCGGGATTTAAGAGTGATGAGTATTTTGTGTACTGTGATCAGATAAGTATTTCAGGTTTATTAGTAATCGAAACAATTTTTTGTCCTTAGTCTCTCACTTTCAGAAAATTTTCTGCATCTTTCGGAATAAACAACTTCGGGAAGTTTCATTACTCTGATGTCAATCTCAAAGGCTACAAAATCAAAATTCATCATGCACTTACAAATAAGCGTACCCTTAAGTAGGAGAAGATTGACGCACACTCTTTGGCGAATCTCAGGGTGTTCATATTTATCGAGTATGTACAACCAAGAAATCTGTAACAGTTATAACATGGCCTTTTATGTAATCTCGGACAAACCTGCAACCATTCTGATGAAGAAGATCACAAAACAGTATGCCTCGTTCATATATTTAAAAAAAATATGGGCAAGTCTGGTCGTTTGATAACTATTTTATTTTTAGTTTTAGTTTTCATTTTTTTGCAATTTGAAATCTTGTTTGGTATCGCTTTCAGTTTTTATTTTGCATGTTTCCAAAAAATGAAAACTCAACCAATAACTGAAAGCTACGTTCTTGAGTTTTCAAAATTTGGGCATTGAGTTTTCACTTTTTAGTTTTCAAAAGTAGCTACGAAACAAGATTTTGGTTTTCAATAAAATGGTAAAAACTGAAAACCAAAAAATAAATACAGAAAATTAGAAATGAAATAGTTATCAAACGGTCTCTGTAATTAATGATTGGCGAAGGGACTTACAAAGGTACAAACTGCAGATAAATTGCTAGGTGTGGGGTTATGTCTTCCGAACTTCCAAAAAAATATAGTAATTGTTTATACCATATTTAGGGCCTCCGTATTTAGATCTCGTACAAATACTCGGGAGACTTAAATGTAATTATGTGATAAAGGATAGGGCAAATATGTAATAAGTGAGGATCCCTTATTCTATAAAAAGACTCCTCACCCTCACAATTAGAGGAGGCCAATTCCTAGGCCTGAGATCCTCACACTCTCTCCCTCACAATCCTTTCATAAATACAATAATCAGTGTGGACGTACCCCAAACATTGGGGTGAACCACGATACATCTTATGTTACTTACATTTCTTTCAGATTCACGGTCAGATTTACGTTGTTCCAAGACCCTCCGGTTTTGTGCATCAACATTTGGCGCCGTCTGTGGGAACCGATACGAAAAATCATGTCGGTTCTCTTTCATTTTTTCATTTTTTCATCTCATCACCGTGAATCTGCAAAAACTCAGCAACCCTGTCCTCCAAATCAATCTGCAACACTCTTTCAACTCCCCCACCCAATAACAACAACAGAAAAAGTTGAAAATCGAAAAGATTGTGATTTCTCTTTCTTTATTTCTTTTTCTCTCTCTCTCTCTCTCTCTCTCTAACATTTTGTAGGAATCAAAAGCAGATTCTGATTAAGCTCTGAGCTGTACAACAGCCATAGCCACGCGCCCTTCAAAGATCTGTTACCTTCCATTGATACACACCAAGCGCGGTAGTGGGTAGATCTCGGTGACGACGTCGTTTGGATAGAGTCCAGCAAAAGTATAACAGTCTCTTCTCCTTCATCCATAGCGAGTTGAAGGAGTGTGAGAATGGCAAGTCGAAAGGAAGACGAGAAAAATGAACGAATTATTCGTGGCCTTCTTAAACTCCTTAAGAATCACAAATGCATCAACTGCAACAATCTGAGAGAGGGAGTGAGGGGAAATCCTAGATGCTGGAATGTTGAGATTGAAGAAGGTTCAACAAATAGCTCCACAGCTCCAGTAGCGCTTCTCTCAGACGATCTTTTGGGCCGCGGAATCTTCAACGTCGACGGTGATGCGTGGCGGTTCCAGCGTAAGATGGCGAGTTTGGAGCTAAGCAGCATCTCCGTCAGCTAAACCCGACTCCACCTTCCTATGCGTCAACTGCGACTCCAAGATCCAAGCATTTGGCTCTGCGAGATCTGTGAGCAAGCTCCAGCTCACGTCACCTGCAAGGCCGATGACGCCAAACAGCTACAGAACAGAACAGCTGCAAGGCTCACGTCACGTCAGAAGCAGAACAGCTGCAACACTGGTTCCAGGAAATAGATCCGTATCTGGATCTGGACTACGGGCATGTGGATCCGAGACTTGAAGAAGCTCAGAAGCAGAATAGCTGCGGCGCTCAAATGGAACCGACACAACTTTCTTCTTCTACTTCCATGACTGGTTCAGCTTTTGGAATAATGGTTTTTTTTTTCTAAGTGCTTTTGTGGGTCTTGCAGTGCTGGGTTTGGTCAGCTCAGCAAAATTTAATGAGCTTTTCCAGCCAACCTGGGCTTTCGATCATTTCACCTACGAGAGAGAATCAATGCACATCTCTCTACACTTAGCGGTCTGGTGCCCTCATGTGCACCATATGTTTTGGAGAGCCAACCACCTTGCCGGAGAGTGTTGCTTGTAGAAGGAGTCTGGCAAGAGGTGGTCCACTGCTCAGTTTCTAACCCACTTGTTCGTCTGTAAAGATACCGTGAGGATGTGAAGACTATGTGATTGCAATCTGCAATCTACAAAGTAAAAGCAAAAGTAAAACAGAAAAGGAAAAGAGAAAAGAAGACAAGGGGCAAAATTGTAAGGTTCTTATTATTACGATTCCTTTTGTCTATCAGGTGAAGAGACAGAGAGAGTGCGACGGAAAGCAGAAAGCAAAAGCAAGGAATAAACATCCCACCAAAATGGTGTGATTTACTTTTCTTGTTTTTGTATGATGTGATTTATTTTTTGTATCTTTCGGAGATATCTGTACAAACCCCATCAGAGGGTAATAAAAAAAAACGGCAAAGCCCAAAATAAATGGGTTGGAATGTTGTGTGGAGGGCGAAGGCCCATAGGCCTAAAATAGCACCAACCAGGTGATCAAAAGTACGCCCAGTACTTCAAAATTATTTGGTAACTTGCCACTATTACTACCAACTAGGTGATCAAAAGTACGCCCATTACTCCAAAATTATTTGGCAACCTACCGCTATTATCACCAACCAGGTGATCAAAAGTACGCCTAGTACTCCACAATTATTCGGCAAGCTGCCGCTATTATCACCAACCAGGTGATCAAAAGTACGCCCAATACTCCAAAATTATTCGGCAACCTGCCGCTATTACCACCAACCAGGTGATCAAAAGTACGTCCACTACTCCCAAATTATACATGAGCATTACTCAATCATACATAAACATTTATGAGCATCACTCATGTCAACATCCATGAGCATCACTCATATCAATCAACATAAACATTCATGAGCATCATTCATGTCAATCAGCTTCAAAAGCTTCATTTACAAAAGCTTTAGCTTCAAAAGCTTCATTTACAAAGCTCTAGCTTCAAAAGCTTCATTTACAGAGCTCCAGCTTCAAAGCTTCACTTGCAAAGCTTTACCTACAAAGCTTCAGTGCAAGGTATACAAATACTGCCTCCGAACAACCGCCACTTCGGCCCATACATGAATTCAATTTGAAGTCTCCAGCCAACAAATTTTATTAACCGAAGACTTGGGGGACTACATTATGTACCATATATTGGGCCTTAACTGGGCCTCATGAAAAATACTTGGGGGACTCTAGCCCATCACTTATGTATTGAGGAGCGAGCCTTTATTCTATAAAAGGGACTCCCTCACCATCATTAGAGAGCATCAACTCTAGCCCATTATTCATGTATTGAGGTGCGAGCCCTTATTCTATAAAAGAGACTCCCTCACCATCATTAGAGAGCATCAACTCTAGCCCATCATTCATGTATTGAGGAGTGAGCCCTTATTCTATAAAAGGGACTCCCTTACCTTCAACGCCACAAGCCGAGCCAACCAAGGCAACATAAGCCACGAGCCGAGCAGCCTCGCAGCATGTGCTACTTCTAGTTTAGCATCATTTCAGATTGAGCACCGCCTCATATTGAACATCAGTTCAAGACAACATCTAGTTACTTCGGCCCACACATGGACTGAATTTCAAGTCTCCAGCCAAAAGACTTTCTTGACTGAAGACTTGGGGGACTACTGTTTATACCATATTTAGGGCCTCCGTATTTAGATCTCGTACAAATACTCAGGGGACTTAAACGTAATTATGTGATAAAGGAAGGGGCAAATATGTAATAAGTGAGGAGCCCTTATTCTATAAAAGGACTTCTCACCCTCACAATTAGAGGAGGCCAATTCCTAGGCCTGAGATCCTCACACTCTCTCCCTCACAATCCTCTCAGAAATACAATAATCAGTGTGGACGTAGTCCAAACATTGGGGTGAACCACAATACATCTTATGTTATTTACATTTCTTGCAGATTCACGGTTGGATTTACGTTGTTCCAAGACCCTCTGGTTTTGTGCTTCAACAATAATTATAAGCTCAATGAATTCCCTTAAACCCTTTATAATACGCATTCTCCAAATTCCATCATTCTTTTCTAACTAAAAGCAAGGGAGACAAAGGGAGGTTATTGCTTGGCCTTGCTAATCCAACTTCTAAACAACCCGTTGACACGCTTCTTAGCTCAGTATACTGAAACTGGGAAAAATCACAAAATGATCGACCATGACGTCTATTTTGTCATATTCCGGCCCGGGCCCCTACCACACCCGAACTCGATTCCACCGTAGCACGATATTGTCTGCTTTGGGCCCCGACCACGCCCTCACAGTTTTGTTTTTGGGAACTCACACGAGAACTTCCCAGTGGGTTACCCATCATGGGATTGCTCTTGTGCGAACTCGCTTAACTTCGGAGTTTCGATGGAACCCAAAGCCAATGAGCTCCCAAAAAGCCTCGTGCTAGGTAGAGGTGAGAATATACATATAAGGCTTACATGATCCACTCTCCTAGGTGATGTGGGATGTAACAATCCACCCCCTTAGGGGCCCGAAGTCCTCGTCGACACACATCTGGCCGAGTGAGCTCCCAAAAGGTCTCGTGCTAGGTAGAGATGAAAATATACATATAAGGCTTACAAGAATCACTCCCCTGGGCGATGTGGGATGTAACATATTTTGAGATAAAACTTTACGTGTTAGGTGAAATATTATGTGAGTGAGACAGTGACACTACTACAAAAAGCACTT